AGCAGTCAAAAAGCCAGGGGTCGTGAGAAGACTGGCGATATACACTTTTTGATTTTGTTTTGTTTTGAAAATCAGGACCGGGCTTCAAAGGTCTGCCTCAGTAACTTAATCTGATGCCGTTCTGCCCCAAATGAGGACGATTGGCTGGGGATATGCGACAATTTTCAAAAATTCTTAAATAATTATTCTAAAACGTACAAACGTAACTGATAAATCGCTACAAACTTACGCAGTCTTACGCAGAGCGTTGCTGTAGTCTGCGTATCAATACCTGGTAACCCGTGCAAAACAAACGAGACCCTGTTCGAAAAACAACACTTAGGTTCGCTATAAAATAACTATTTCCATTAAACTGGCATTCCGGAGTCAGTATACAAGCTATTTTCAGGCCTGTAATACTTCAAGTTTAAAGGGATATTAAGCGACGGAGGCGAAATAAGCGGTACGCATTATGCCGGGATGAGACCGAATTGAATTACCTTACGACCCAAAAATAATGTCCATCCCGGCAATGATAGCCACCTATTGCTTGAATGAAAACAGAAGTTTAATTTCGGGAACCGTCACAAACTGCCTCCCGCCGTGATCGCAAACTAGGGGACAGAATGACTGACAAAAATAAGGCATTTTTGGAAAAATTAAACCTGCCTTCTTACAAGAACAGGGTCCGGTAAATAGTCGAAAAATAGAAATTCTTCGAACTTAACCTGGACAACCAGAAATCCATGTGTTAAACGGTTTCAGCGAATTTCTACAGCGGTTTGTGGGATTTCTTTTATCTATATGTCATTCTAACATTCATCTTCGTCACTGATGCGGAAAATTTAAAATTTAATTCAAATTCTAAATGTAAAATATGAAGTCCACAGGCTAGACGGTTGGTTTCCCTTTTTCCTTGTAAAAGTTTCCTTTCGTTCCTACTGTTACGGTCCACAAAGCATACATTGAGAACTCTACCCTGTAATTGTGTTAAACTACACAAAGGACTTTTGTAGTCTGTCTCCCTACTCATTTTGATAACAAATGAATGGCCAATAGATAATGGCACTTTATGTCTTCTGAAAACTCTGCCTTCACAGTCCTTCATTTCGGGTAGCTCATAATGAACGCTAAAAAAATGTAATTTACGAATATGTGTGAGTGCTTTTACTTCCAGCTGGACATGTGAGTCAAAAGGTCTACATTTTACTGCAAATAGAAGATAATGCATGCGTTGGACATGATAGCATGGACCCCCCACTACCATAGGGGACCTCGTGTGAACTTCCGGGGAGTTCCGATTCCCGTCTCATAAATCCGACCTTAACTCTAGGCCTTACACTTACCTTAACCCTAACTCTGACCTTCCTGGAAGTCGGGGAAAGGATCCTCATAATATGGGGGAGGAAAGCATATTCAAAATTGTACAACCTATTTCACTTTTTTGGCCTTAATGATCCCTGAACTTCGCCCTCAGAAGTCATTTTAACGAGGTCGCTTTTAGCACCCCTTATGCAAATCAGTGACAACTACCCTCACTGTCGTGTTAGGATAGTTTTTATTTGTAAGTTTGGCAAATGAGTCGCAACCAACTTGTGGATGGAAATGTGCTACAAAAACACCTGATTATCGGTGGTGTCAAACGGACCTACCCTCAAGCCCCAGGTCTGCATAGTCTGATGTAAAAACGTGGCTGGCTAGTGACTGCAACCGGGCCTGGGAAAAAAACTTCGGTCTCCTTTGTTTTTGTCGGTAAGTCCTCTATATTACTTACTGATAGTTTGCGTTCTGAGGTACAGCAGCAAGAGGACGTACCGTAAATTGATTAGTATGCACCCTCCTGCCACATTTTATATTTCCAATGCCAACCGAGAGGACAACGAGCCCGTGGCTCAGTGGTCAGATCATTGGACATACTAATGCCCGATAACCAAAGAACACAGGCTTGAACCTCAGCTGCCACCAAACGTGGGACTGGTAAAGCCTGGCTGACGACGGTTGAAAACCCAGGCAAGATCACTCTGGTCTCATTTGTCTTTGCCAGTAGCCCCTCGTACATGTGTTTTTCTCAAAATACGCTTAATATTTGGTTTGCGGAGGGCTTTTTTCAGATGTCGTCTGCATTTGTGTTTATTTTTCTCCCGTTTCAATACGATTTTACCTAAGAGCTTTGCACTGCCGGTTGGGTACGTACGCATATACGCATATCTGAGAGTTCGTCGTTGTCAATGCTCTCCACCGTATGCTCCAAAGCGGGGTGAGAGCAGAGACGGTGACTTGCGCGTGAATTAATTTATAGTAAGAGCGGGCTTAAGCTGCATCTACCACACTCCCTCCTCCAACTACAGTAGGTGGGCTAACTCATTAAATGTCAACCGAAATTTCGAAATGCGTTCTCGTTTCGAAAAGATTAATAAAGTATGCTTGTAACAATAATCATAGTCCAACAAAATTCTGTAATGATTCAGTTACCTCAGGGTGCCGGCTTTCGAAAGAACTGTAGTGACATTTAAGTCCGTTTTGTTTTAATCAATTACAATACGCTTGACACAAGTTTAAATAAGAAAAAGAACACGCACGTACAGTTTTACCTGCTGACGACTTTGTTCTTATTTACTAGTTTGTAACTGTTGGGATACTGCTATTTTCGTTTACCGTATGGCCTACTCGCCGTGCCCAACTAGTGGGTTTGTCTCTTACAGAACTTATTTCCGACTTCATGCAAGAACTGCATTTTGCAAAAAATGACTACCTACGTAGCATGCAGTTTTCCCATCGATTTTCGATGCCCGTAAATACTCAATTATATTTCATGGAAAATATACACAAAGTATTCGTTCTTTTATTTATTCGGTATGAAATCACGTCTTCTTCCAATTTTATACCCGAAGGAAGAGTATAATTCGGTTTCAAAAAACCTTTTCTAATTCTTGAATAATTCTGAACCCGACCTGCTCTTATGCTTACATTCAGGATTTCAAAACTGCAAGCCGTATATTTTCCGTGTACGGAAATCCATACATTTTCTACGGTATTAAGAGGATACCATATGGGGTTCATAAAATTAAACAGTGAATTTGAGCAATATTATTAACTTTGAGCAATATTATTAACTTTACAAGCCACATTGGTAAAGGCAGATACATGAAGTTTTATGAACGGCCATTTTACGGTTTTAAAAAATCTCACAATTACAAACCTTTTTGAAACCGAATTATACTCCCCCTTCAAGTATAAAATTGAAAGAACACGTAATTTTCTACCGAATAAATAACTCGATGAATATTTTTATGCACGCTTTCCATGAAATATAATTGATTATTTAAGGGTATCGAAAATCAATGGGAAAATCGCCTGCTACGAAAGTATTCATTTTTTTCAGAGCGCAGTTCCTGCATGAAGTCGGAAATAAGTTCATTCGAAAGCCGGCACCCTGAGGTAACTGACTCATTATAGAATTATGCTGGACTATGATTATTTTACAACCATACTTAATTAATCTTTTCGAAACGAGAACGAATTTCGAAATTTCAGCCGACATTTCATGAGTTAGCCCACCTACTGTGAACGCAGCGTCATGACAGAGTCCAGAAGACCGGTGGCGTGAGAGGACGCCGGTGACTGGCACGGCAAAAAGCCGCACCTAGATACGCTACCAGATCTCCTGGTTCAGAGGGCACAATGACTAGGATTTTACACAACAAGAGAAGGGGGGGAGGCCGTCACGGATCCTACCTTCAAACTGCAACTTGGCCTGCAGACACCTCCAATGTAGGCATTTGTTATGGGGGCCAGTTTTCGATAACACCTGCAGGACTCCGATCTAGCCCCGATCTAGCGCCCCAAACGGCTGTCGCTTTTTAGGGGCAGACATACATGCATACAAACATGCGCCACTATACAGTTTGGATGAATCTCTGACCTTCGGACTATTTAAAAAGGTAACAGGGGAGTCGGCGAACTTTGATTGTAGTCTTTACCTTCTTTTTCCAATTTCAAAGTATTTCGGATCCATTTAAGGAATTTACTGATGACAGTTTATTAAAAACCCTCTAATTACTTTTTACGATATTTATTCCGTTAGTTTATTGATTAAGACCTAAATATTTTGGTAATCAACAAAAAACTCGAGATGTTCTTATCTTCTGACTCAAGTTGCTGTGTTACGGCCGAGGAACATACGGTGTAGCGTTTAACACGGAATGGGACGCGTTAACAGTCAGACCATTAGAAGTGCCTTCACGCTATGGTGCAGACTAGAAAAGTGGGCGAACCACCGACAGCTGAAGGTATACAATGCATGATTCTCGAGGTGGGGATATTTCCTACTGATAAAGTTGTCGAAATTAGCAGGAATCAATTAATGAGAAGGAGAGAATGCGGCCACAACCAAATCTCGAGATCAAATCTAGGGGTAGAGTAAGTACACAAACGTCGAATAAAATCCGCACGTTTTCTCATCTCGTTGGAGAGGACTGCAGCATGCGTGTTCGAGGAGAGATTAGGGGACAGTGTAAAACCTATTGGGAAGAATACTGAGAGTTGAAGAGTTTGAAAGTGACGTAGCTTGAAAAAGTATATGGTGAATTGATTCCAGTTCTAGAGTTGCGAAAATTCCCCCAGCATTAATCATAAGACGAGGTGGCGAGCGTACGTAACTTTCGATGAATTCTCATCAGGGTAGTACAATAATATGGGAATGGGGTAGAAGTAAAAACATGTCAGCGATAAGAGAAATCGATTAAAAACACAGGCGGAGTGTGAGAATGTGGGGGAGGGGAGGATAGTAAAAGAGTCAGTGTCAGGGCCGGGATGAGTGCGAGGGCGCGGAGGCTTGCAGTGTTAGCCGATCTTCGACCACTGCAGCTACGGAACCCGAGCATGATTCTTCTGTGCACACAAGATTGGCTTTCGTAACCTGATGGTGGCCGCCTCTGCTGTTGCTAATCGGTCCTGGCCCAGTAGTTTAGGGTATCTGAGACCCTGTAAATCACACAAAAAGCTTCCTTGGGGTCTACACGATGTCCGGAATCGATAACATGCGCGAGAATGGCGCCGCTTATGCTCCTAGTTTCGCCTTTTCCCGGCCATACCGGGAGGTATTCCCGCCGACTCATACGACCAATATAACCTGCTCCACAGGAGCAAGTGAAGGAATAGATGCACATTGAAGTGGTCTAGGGTGGCAACTTATCCTTACCTTCTCTGCGTAAAATAGAGGTAGTAGAGAAGGACATTTGGACCCTTGCTGCTGGGAAGGTTAGCGAGACAGCTTGATCAAGACGTCTCTTTAGGAGTCCACTCGCAGCGTCCCTTTGATAAGGGAGTTTGATGAACAGAGTTTTTTTTCGGCAGTCGGTGTGGCGGGTTTTACTGTTCATTCGGTAATATTCTTTGCAGTAAACTTATCAGGGTACCTGGATTTTTCTAAGTTCCTCCTCGATGCTATCTCTTGAGCATGTTTTTACTTCTATCCCGTTCTCATATAATTGTTCTGGCTCGATGAAAATTCATCAAAAGCTACGTATGCTCGCCACCTCGTCTTCTGATTCCAGTTCCTCAAGAGAAAACAATTTCCCGATGAGCGTGTTCAGATGTAGTCGTTCGAAAGATGGAAGTCATCATTTTTTAGCTGCATAGTTGGTGGGAAGTTTGTCAGCAGTTTTGACGCTGACAACAAGAGTCAAGAGTATAGAGTTAACAAAGGCTACCACGAATGTAGCGAAGAAGAGTGAAGTTGCCATTACCCACTCTGATAAATTTGATTCAGAAGCGGGACTAATCTATTAACTAAAAACAGTCCAGTCAAAATCGCAGCAATGAGGTGTCTACTCGAAGAGAATGCTTCAGTGAACAGTGGTAACTGTCGAAGGGGCACCAAAAAATACACATTCATAGGCACAACATTCCTTTTCTAAGCTCCTGAGATGAGCTGAACAACTAACGTAACAGTGCATCAGGCTTCGTCTCGGGTCAGATGATTGGAGCCCAGGGGTAATGGAGCTGAGAGATGAGACAGTGCTCGGGGACAACTCCTTCAGTCGAATTCAGGCGAAATTGCAAATCTCAAATAGAACGGAAGAACTTAGGACTATGATAAAAAAGATTTTTAGGCATAGGACCAATTATGGCAGTGGGTCATGTATGGGGCGTTTTTGACGCAAGGAAAAAAGACCACACCGTTGGTGTAGCTCATGTGCAGATTGGATGGGACGGAAATCAAGAAGAAGGCAAAACAGTTACGATTTGGCAGAACAGTCCTTTTACTCAGTCCTAAGGGAAGAAACAGCAGCGTCCAGTGTGTCCACAATCCAGACAGATAAATCTGGAACTTCTTTCAAACCCGCCTAATCACAGTCTTTCACTCACTAGGCGTCTAACAGTTCTCTGCCGTTTCGAGATCTGTAGTCTATCAGAAAGAACAAAAGGAGACACCCAAAAACCCAGGTTATAGTAATCGGGGTTCGCAACTTTCACATAGGTACGACTTTGAGTGTATTGTCAGACTAGTCTTTAAAGTATGCTTAAAGCTACGGTATATGGCGCCTGGTAATGAAAAAACCGCCTAACAATTTTCAGCATATAAGTAGAATTATCTTCACTAGAAATGAGATTTTGTAGAGGACAACTTCGACTCTCAGTCCCGCATACTACTGTCCACACTTTCATAACACTGAGAATTAGCAGAAATGCATGCCAGTCTCGTAGCAGACAATTGCATAGTGGAAATTTCGTGAAACCATAGACTCATTTCAGCATGGCCCAACAGACCACATCAATTTTTGCGTAGGGGCTGTGACTTAGCGGGCATAACAGGACTTCTGGCTAGGCACGTAGAATTTTTTTACACTAATAATCAACTTTGTTGTTAGAACAATGAACTGCGACAAATGGATGGGCCCTAAATAATGCTTAAGTTAGCAATAGTTTTTCCGTTGTTTTAAGAAGAAAGTTCCGTCCCGCATACACAGATAGCGTTTGCAGTTTACTCTAACCTACAGGCTAACTTACAAGTTAAGCAATTATAGCAGACGTGCTCTACACAGGGAGACAACTCATTCAGCCGGAGACAAGCTGTCCCGGATTCTGGCCACAGCAGTCTAGACAAGACTGCACAAACAAACGAGATTTCTTAGTTTTGGGTTCCTTACGGGCGACCATTCATTCAAAAGATAGACACTAAGCGAGAAGAACTTAGTCTTCAAAGACGTCTTTGACCAGTGTTTAGGCATATATGTAGATATACATTGGTAGAGGGACGCTCACCGATCGTCCTTACGGAACTCACTCGTTCCGTTGTGCCTTAGGGGCTCTCTCTCGAGCTCACCCAGCAACCGCACATCGGCGCATGATATAGGCAAAATATTATTACCGACGAAGCCAAGGGAGACGACGGCTAATAAACCACAAATGGGCATTCCAGCCTCCCTTGTCTTTGTCGGCAATAACATTCTACCTATATATACATGTACATGATGGTACAGGGACACTTACCGATCGTGTTACTGAACTCACTTATCCCGTTGTGCGTTAGGGCTCTCTCTAGAGCCCCGCCAGCAGCCGCACAGCGGCGCATGATATAGGCAGAATGGTATTACCGACAAAGACAAGAGAGACTGGAGTGGCCGTTTCTGGCTTGTTAGCCGTCGGTTATTCTTCTAACCAACAGGTGTTCCACATCTCGGGCTTGGATATTACTGGATGACGACGGCTGATAAGCTAGAAATGGCCAGTTCAGTCTTCCTTGTCTTGGTAGGTACTTTCCAAGGACATGGAATACAATCTCTTCGATCCAAACTTCCTAGGCTTCCTTTAAACTTGGAGTTCATCAAATAATCAGAAAATCTCACAGACGATGAATGTTTCAAAAGCCGGAATAGCACTGTACAAACCCTTTAGAAGCGAAACTATTTTTCAGTTTTATCACATGAAGAAGTGAAGGCAAAATCTTTGGAGCACCGAAAGCTCAAAAACCTAATGTACCATTGCGAACGATGGTATCATTAATCGCTACATCAAATCACAAAATTTCTAAATGGCCATTCCATCAACTTCATCCATTAACAAAGGACTGTGAAATTTCAATCGAGAATTTTATTGAATTTTTAGACAAAGTACGAGGACTCGCTACTGATGTGGAGGAGATAATGGTATCTTTCGATATTGTCTCTCTATTCCTGTCTATACCACTCAATTTGGCTAGGCAATGCACAGAAGAACTCCTACAATCCTACGACATCTATGTTTCTGCACTTGCTTTGCTTGAACTCTTGGACTTATGTCTGGAAAAAAACTTTTCATTCGCACACGAATACGATTAACAGCTAAAAAGAGCTCTTATGGGGTCACCTTTTTCTGGCTGAGGTCACAATGCAAAATCTAGAGGCAACAGCCTGACCATTAGCCAATCTCAAAATATGGGTACGCTATGTAGATGGCACCTTTGTTGTTTTCAAGAGAAATCGACTGGAAACGATGCATAGCGTTATCAACTCAACACCATCAGAAATCACATTCACGCTCGAAAAAGAAGTTGACAGGAAACTTCCATTTTTTGATGTCCTCGTACAGCGAAAAACTGACGAGACATTCCACACATCAGTGTACCGCAAGATAGCTTCTGCGTAAGTTATCCTACATTACAAGAGCAACCCTCCTATCGCTCACAAACGAAGTGCTGTTAAGACCCTACTTAATTGAACAACAATACACTACTCTGAGAACGAAGCCTACCAAATATAACTCAATTATTTGTTCAAATTACTTTCCCAAAATGGCTGCCCTGGAGCTTTCGCATGCCGATGCACGGGACAGCAAGAATTAAAAGGAAAGTATATAAAACTAGATTGTTCCGACCTGGCGCCAAAATTAAAAAATTAGCGAGCACTTCCCTACATTTGAAATGCGTCTGAACTCGAAAGACACCTGAAGAAGCACCAAACACAAGTGGCGCATAAACCGACAACTACGCTACGCAGCCAGCTTGTAATCCCTAAAGATGAGGTTGGCTATTTAGGTAAAAATGAAGTCTATAAGATTTCATGTGGTATTCATAACGCGGTAAATTGTGGTCAAACAGGGAAATCTGTCTCTACATACCAATTGGCAGAAAAGAGGCGGAACCACTTATCCCAAGCAGCCATATATTCCCTATAAACTGGACACAAAGTTGCTTGGAATAAAACGCCCATTGTCGGTCCCTGCCCGTACAAGAGAGGTTGAGGGTTTCTAAAGGCCATTCGCTCTGATGATTCATACATCAATCGGAGCATCGACTTGGACGTCATGTACATAAATATCAAGGAAAATTGGGAAAGGTGATAATCAATCAAAACCTGATGTCGGCCCACAGCACAGACCCATTCGCTGTACTGACAAAACAATATCGTTTTTTCACGCATGTTTACATTTTAACTGTTTTCACGCTTTCTACACGTCTGATGGCGACCTGAGGAACCATTGTCAGAAGTTTACGAAATAAAGTTTATCCATTTTCCCAAATTACTCATTTTTCTTCCAATTATATTTCTCGGGATGCTCATCTTCCAGTACATATATATATGTATATATGCACATACACGTTAAACCCAGCATCCCAGTTGTGCGCAACAATGTTGCCGTAGATCTACAACTGATCGAAAATTGGAACAGGTACCCTACCAGATCGAACAGCATACATTGTTCACTCACTTTTTCGAAAGCCAAATCCCCTCACTTTTACGTTTAGGAAAAGTTCGGGCGGGAGAGGCAACTTATGGGCTCTATCATAAGTGCAAACTTGTCGACAGGTGGTAAGACTTTCCGAACCTTGGTAATCGTCGCTAACAAAGCCGAGGAGACCCTAACCCTAACTGCCTGGAACTTAGCACAATGCCACCTGCAATACGCGGATATTTATTCTCGTGCCCTACGCCGATACGCTGAGAGAGGCTCAATAGTTGAACGTTCGACTACCTAACGTGCACTGACCATGGAACCCGGGTTCGAGTTCTGGGCCATCCAGACGTGGGGATATGTATGACTGGATGACGGCGGTTAATATGCCACATATGGCAATCCTAGTCTCCCTTGCCGCTAAGGTTGATCTTGGAGACGGAATATAAGCGTTTCTGGAGCTAATTTTACCAACGAAATGATCCCCGCGTGTGTTGCAAGTTGAAAATTTACCTTTGTGAGACACTTTCAAACCTCTGCGGAACACTAGTCAGGAACGAAAAACTGATAAGTACTTCGGAAACCCGTTGTCAAAATGCAATAGAATGGTCGACTGAACTTTATGAAATATTCGCAGTTCTTCTTAGGCATGTTGAAATCATATTGACGATAACATCTTGTATTTTCTATCAGAGACGCGGACCCAAAAGTGGTTACTCTGTCATGATATCTGCTGAAACTCGTTTGTGACTACATGTTTAATTTACTTTTCTCAAATCTTTGCTAATACTACACGCTTCGGCGTAATAAATAACTGACAGCGGTTTGACCAGCTTATTGCGCTGGTATGCTACTGATGAGAAATTCGATCGCTGTCGCCATCTTGCCTCAGCAACTAGCGGTATGCAGAGCTTTTTAGGAGATTTTTCAGCACCTCAATCCTGCAAAACCATGACGTGATTGCGGCAAGCATAAAATCTCACGAAAGTCATTACCCAATCTACGAAATCAGCGCTCACAAATAATCATTTATTCGTCAAATGAGCCCTCGCACAGATGTTTTCAAACTTACTTATAAGTCAGGAATGTTTTTACTAAATGTCTGGAGGCTAACTGAACCTATGTTTTTTATACCCGATTATGCCCTTCATATTTATTCGATAGGGGTTTTATGTAAGGTCTTTATGGAGTGTGCGCAAACAGTTGCCTTTAGGCACATGGCGTGAAAAATTAGACCAGTGCCGAGCGCTTGTAAGATGCAGGTCTCTATTTAATTGTCCCGAATTTAGTAACAAATAGATGGGTTGTCTGTACCGGGTTCCGTTCCTTTTTTACGACAGTCTGCGTGGACATTTCCGACAGCTTTCCGACCCTTGGCAGTACTCAGAATACAGTGACTTGGTATTCACACACCCAGCTTCGCCTTGTTAGGTTTTCTCAACTCAAAGCCATTGTTGGATACCTGACACTTTCCTCGCCTTGTCTGGATGAACTGTGGGGATTTCAAGGCATGCGTCTTATTCATTTAGCCAACGTTAATTAGAAGTATGGCTTGTATCTACTACACAGTGGACTTTCATCTAAACGTCTTTGGTTAACGTTTTTCGAACAGCTAAATTGTCCTTTTTAGTTCTAGTGAAAATATGCCTTTCACTAAAGTCACTTTTGTCTGCCAGTTACTTTCTCCTACTTCATCAAGTAGTGTTATCATCAAGCGTTCGTCCTGGAAACGATTTATATCCACCTCTTTTTCCAGCTATCTAACAATGACACCCTTAAAATGAACACGGCGGTCGTTCGAGCAGTGTGCCTAACAGCAGGTAGGCTCAACTTTTCTCCAATGTGAGCTTAAATAAGCGTATAGATCATGGTAGTTGACGCGTTTATAAACAGTTCCATATTTAGTTTGCATTCACCGCGCAGTCTTTGTAAGTAACTACGCGAAACTTGCCACGTGACTCAGTCAAAAAGGGATTTTTTTTAACTATTCCGAGCGATCGCCTTTTGGTATTTTTTGAATGTCCCAACAATACATTGACAGCCGTAAGTTGTATTTTACCTTACATTGTTAACATATCCTACGCGGCGTAGCTTTACAAATTTTAAATAAGTGCTTATGGGAGGTAACTTACATACCAACCTGTACGACTATTCTAATCGTACTAAAAACCCAATTCCAACATTATGGATTTGATTTGGAAAGTTTTGAACATGCACTGATGATAATTTCAATTCAGAAGAAGAAGAAGATGCGATCACTGGATTAAGAAGTTTATTGGTCTGATGTTTTGGATTTCCACTCGAACCCATCATCAGAGACGTTTGCAGATAAGGAAAATTGCAATATTCTTGATCAGGACCATCCGGCCTCGAGTCTGTAGTGCTGTGCTAGGGTATTTAACTTACTACTTAATGACCATGAAACCCGAGTTCCAGCCACTGAGCCTTCGAGCCTGGTTTGGATACATGACCGACTGGAGACGAAATTTTACCAGAAGAATATATTCCAGGTCAATTTATTTTTGTAGACAACATTTGTAGGACACTTACAAAGTTAACAACATTTCTGCTGGTGATCATAACACATAGTAGGGTGTCTTTTTAGCGTTGTTCAAGTAATACACAAAAATAAAAGCACATTCACTGGATGATCTCTGTTCACGGAAGTGGAAACACAGCCTGCTCCAAACCTTAACGCTAAGCATAAGGGATTTAGTAAGCGACCAGTTATAAAGTTTTCATGAATAAAAGGAAACCAGGTCATGTTCGCATTTCAAACATTACAGAGAAAAACGAACATTTATTTTTTACGCCCTATCCCTGCTTAAATCACTGAATTGCAAGCATTTGCGCAAAATATCAAAGAATTAAATTTTGGCTAATGGCTGGATGTCCACAATCTATGTAAACCTTTTCTTAACCCAAGAGAACTTTCATGGTTCAAGATATCCGGCTACATGTTGGTGTGCGAACTTTATTATACGATCGGCCAGGACTGAGAACAATCAAGTGGTTGGTTTTACGTATACAAAGTGGACCAGTGAAAAAATTCTTGTGTCGTTCCCGATGTCTTGTAGTGAAATCCGATGTTTTCTATGCGCTGCTTTGTCAAACATTTCTCAATAATGAAATCCGAAGCAGCGAATTTCCAAAATATGAGACAAAAATCGGGAATAATGTAGAACGCAACTTATGGGAGACTCTGTGCTTTCTAAAAATTTATGCACAAGATTGGTTAAGTGAGTCAAATACCCTGCTGAAAGTTAATTGCTGATAGATTCTGACTTTTCTAGGGAAAAAAGTCTCGAAAAGTGGACGTAATGATTAAACCACTTAGAACTCTTAAAAAATATGTCGGTTATTCATTTCATCGATTTTAATACAGCTTATATTAGGAGTTCTGATCTCACGAGAGTCACAAGCTATTGACAGCGAAATAACAGAGCAAACGTTCTCATGCGCGATGACCGGCCAGTTCGATAGGACTAAAACTCTTCCGGATGTCTAGTAAAATATGACAGCGGTCACTCCGTTAACCACAGAACAACCTTCCGAGGGCTTGTTCGGGCGCGAACAACTCGGGCACTGTGCTGCTTGTAATCAGCCTGCATACGGAGTTAAAAACCTGACATGTGAAAGTAACTCGAACATGTGACCAGTCTCAACTTCACATGGCAATTCTTACCCAGTTGGTTTACACATGTCCTGCTCCCTGCCTCATTGCGTTTGTGGTAAACTCTTCTCGTCGATTAGACTGTATGTACTAAACTATGACCTTGCTGTTTGCACATTGGTCTTCTGAGTAAATTCAAATTGCTATGTACTGAAAATCTGTTATTCATAGTTGTCACTGACTAGAAGCAGTTGATAAATCGTGACGAAGTGCCCTGATACATTAATGTTCTGCTGTTTATCCCAATCTCAATGTGTGCATTGTATAAAACGTTTTCGACTTCTGAAAATAATGAAATTCTTGCTTATTGTGTATCAGTAAGCGTCACTAAAATTTCACCGACTATTTTTTTGTCTGCATAATGATCCAACGATTATGGTTAAGTGGACTTTTAGGACAGATGTTGTTGTGGTGTAAAAAAATTTTAGGAATTTAGGTGCGCTTCACAACTGAGAGTAGAGATCGGCCGAAGGCTGCATTCCATTGGCTAATTTCATCTTAAACGTAGTAGTCATATTAAATATCATAATATCTCATAGTAACGAGTTTTCTGATTGAAATACGCGTTAGCTGGAGCTTAAATTCGCTTTTAATCATGTGGTGCCGGTTATGGGGTTAGTCTGTTTCCGCAAATTCAAAAACGTTTTCCGGACAGAGTAAGTAATTTTTACGAAGATTCAAGAAAAATAGGATCAGACTGCAAGGCAATTGGCCCTAGGTCGGAAGAACTAGATCAGTATCATTAATGAAGGCGAAATTTCGAGTTCCAGGTGTATGCATAAGTTAAGAAGAGGAGTCGAGCACCGGAACACCGTGTTTATTGTTCTGAGCTTTCAAATTTGTACAGGAGTCTATCGTCAGGGGTAGCAGCAGCAGCAGCAGCAGCAGCCGATGCACAATGGACTCCAGTACGACTATGAGAGCTCAGGACAATAAGCACAGTGTTCCGGTGCTCGACTCCTTTTCTTCCCTTATGCTGAAGAAAACGTGAAAGGCTTTCTGCTACAAGGAAGGCTGACAGTGTAGTTTTTACTATGTGAGCAAAAGTAACTGTCTTGGGATGATTCGAAACCTTTGAATCAAAACCATGGACCTTGGAGTTGTTAAGTAATCAGTGATATTGTGGTGCATAATCTATCTTTGTAGAGACATACTGACTAAAATTTAAATACATTTAATCCGTAAAAGCACCAGATAAGATCTAATTTCGTTCATACCTAAAATATAAGTTGAACGACACCGATGAACATTATATAAACATCAATTGAGACTTCGGAACTGAACTTGTGCAGTATCCTGCCTGTGAATTCCCAGTAAAAATTAGCCAGCTAACGATGGTCATCAGTTTCTCTGCCCGCCATTTCCTCCCACACATCCTACTCCTCTTTATCCACATGGATCTCTTTCGATGCCATAAATTTTTTGCAGAACTGGACAGGTGCATCTGGACCTTATATTCCGTGGGTAGTCAATCACTGGATGACGTAGCTTATCTCCCTCAGAAACAAACAGTCTTTCCTCTTTAAATTTTCTTTCTAAATGCCAGATCGTTGCTAAATAAGATGTCGTTGTGTTCGACTCTGGTGTTTGTCCGTTGCCCATACATTGCTTAAGTAACTGAGACATGGACAACAGCGTCCGTAGCTGATTCCGAGCTCTCACTTCTCAGCTATACTTGCGTTCGAAATGATCGTCATGAGAGCCGTAGTGGGGAAAGCTGCATCTACGTTAAGCAAGCATTTGCATTTCACCGGCTAAAGTCTTCAGGAGAGCGACAAATACGACGAAATACTGAACTTCAATAGCAACCACCCGACCAGTCACAAACGCAGTTGCGTAAGGGCGCTATGCCGGCTCGTTGAGACGTACTGCAGTGAAATGCAAGACAAGGTTGCTGAATTAAAATATCTTCGACGGGTAATGAGAGCCAATGGTTACCCGCGCAACTTTGTCAACCAATGCATACGAAAAGGACACCAGAGACCAAATTCAACCGTCCCCAAATTTTGGCGGACTCTTCCGTACGTGAAGAACGTCTCGGAAGCCGTCAGTCGTCTTCTCACTCCACTTGGAGTTGGGGTTGCACACAGGCTGGAAGCAACCATTAGGCGCCAAGTCATGAGGCCAAAAGACCCGCTGTCACGGCAGGAAACGTCCAGAGTCGTTTACCGGATCTGGTGTAGTTGCGGACAAAGCAATTATGTCGGAGAAACTGGGAGATTACTCCGTACGCGAATTGCCGAGCACGCAGCAGCAGTGAGGCGGGGGGACGCTAACTCTCAGGTGGCGGCACACTCGAGGGGACCCGACCATATTTTCAAATTTCAAGAGGCCGAAATCCTCGCAAGGGGTGACAACTGCGTGAGCCGCGAGCTGCTCGAGTCATGGTTCTCAGGCCCGCAAACCATCAACAAGCGCAATGACCTCCCAGTACTATATTCCGTGCTGAGATTTTCCCTGGGCAGGAGAATCAGTCGCGTGGGGAGGGCGCGGGCGAGTAAATATCACAGTGCAAGTGAGCCAGTTTGCCGAGCAATTGTCACACCAGCATCCAGCACAGATGACGAAATCACGGCAATTGAGGACTCAGACTCGGACCGACAAGTCACCGCCGCATCAATTACGACCCCAGCGGCGATTGCGAGAACTGTAAATTGCAGTGCGCATACGGTCCCACGGCAGCCACGTGCTATATATACTGCACTCCGGATGCCACCATCACCTTTATCTGCGAATGTCTCTGATGATGGATTCGAGTGAGAATCCGAAACGTCAGGCCAATAAATTTCTTGTTTCAGTGATCGCATCTTCATCTTCTGACTTGCATTTCTGCTGCTGGACCTTTCGCATCTTTCCGGGGCAAAAAGGACTGCCGGCTTTAAGTTGCTTTATAAATGAGTACTCTTTACTCATTGGCTGTGTCTATGGGCCACCCAACGCAAATGAGGATTTTGATCGTTGTCTCACAGGAACATTTCATGTCACGGCCGACTTAGACTTTAAGTATCAATTGGTTGCGGACGAATCCAATATTCCTGAAGCCTCCTGGTCTCCACCTTCCGGACCCCTGAAAACAAGACGACTTTTTTCGTAGCTGTGGATATTAGCATGTGCAATCAGGTTGTCGGTTTTCTCACCAAACAATCAAGCATATCTGACCTAACTTTCTATAGAGGTTGCATGCCTTTGTCGGTGCCATCCACTGGTCCACTCGGGGGCTCAGATCAAGATATAGATTTCCTATGTTAGAATCCTAGACTTATTCGATTTCCGATCAGCCTGTTCAGCCGAATTATTATCACACCTTTATTACTTTGACTGGGATGATTTATTCCCAAGTTCGGATGGAAATGTTTGCAGCGTCAAAATATACGTAGACTTGGGTCCGCTTATTTGTGGTTTTGTTTCCCGTAAGAAAATAATTAAGGTTGGGGATGAGGTTTTCCTCCCCTTTTGCCGCAGGTTGCTCTGACTCGAACGTCGACTCCATCTGCAGAACGATGTTTCCGTTCTCCCCTCGATTTTTCCTGTTTTTGATTGGACTGAGTGAGTGTCCGAAGAAAAGCGGCTAACCGAAGCGATTCACTTAAACGAGAATCGCTCGTTATACGTTACGAAACTCTTCTCCAGAAAAGTTAGAGCTCATAGAAAAACGCAGTATCCTATCCTCTGGGGAATCCCTTAGCTGACGCCAAGTTGACCGCCGACAGTTTCACTGATTTATAGTACAAAACCTTTATTTATAACTCGACCATTCCACTTTCGAGCATCCAGGCTTGGACCGGGGCCGTTCTCAAAACTGCAACATTCACCCTCTGAAAGGTGACTGTAGCAAATCCGCGTTTTCGTCAATCTCATAGTCCGGGACCTGATGGCGTGCCAGATAACATTTTAAAAGCGAATGCAAATGAAGTTTTGCCGCCCATCTAGTGCAAGATATATAATCCTGCCCTAGATTGTGAAACCCATTGGGCCTTGTGGATGGAACCACACATTTTGCCTATTCTCAAGCACGGACCAACTACTTCATTTGATGACTTTTGCCCAGTAAACATCCTCCCAGCAGTTTCGACAATCTTACAGGTACTAATCAAGGACAAGGTGATGAGAATAATCTACTGAGTACTGCTTAACATGGATTCCCAGAAACTCTCTTTTCTTTGATCGTGTTCTTCAATCTAGGGACAACAATTTAAATAAATAAATAAAATAAGTTTATTAAGGACCCATCGGGGTCCCTTCATAGCAAGTAAAAGTAAATGTTCATCTGAATTTTAGACGACGTAGGCGGAATCTGTAAAAATGCAATTCCTAGTTGCTGAATTAGTAGTCCCTTAAGAAAACTGATAAGCGAGCATCGAAAAAACACCATGATACGATACAAAATAATGGGATTAACTTTACAGGAGAGTAAAAACTGTCGCTCATGAAAGGACAACAAAGCGAGCAGGACCGGCTTGCATTTGGCGATGTATAGCGGGTTATAAACGCACATCGTCAGGGCAGAAATAAATGTCATCTATGAGGGGTATGTATGCGGCCCAGACAGGACTGGCATGCATGTGGTATTGTATAAGGGATTCAAAACGGACATCGTCAGGGCAGAATTGATAGGCCGGATGAGACTATTCACGTCAAAGTGGCGAGACGAGAGGAACCCAGACGCGATCGGTCACAGTCCGCTTCGAGCCCAGCCGAGGAGTGGGGAAAGGAGACTCGACCAAACTACTAGTAGACGGCGAATACTGAGGGTTCCGCTGTGAGCGTCGACAGACCGCTTGAGGTCGAAATGAGGAGATGGCGACAAGAACCGCGAAAATCGTCGCTATGGGGGATGAGTGATAGCAGTAGAACTAGTAACCAATTCAAGAGCGTGGGTTGTAAAGATATAAATGAGGGTTTCCACCACTAACTCTACCATTAAATCCCTGGAGGACACTTCTCGAAGTCAAAAAGCTGAGTGTTCGGGGATAAGACCGTTAAACTTGCCTTTATACTTTCCGGTGTAATACTTTTGCGTAATTTCGACTTGAATACCAGTAACTTAGGCGATGATCTAATTTCTGGCGAAAGATTAATCCAAAGGAAGGCACGCTTGGAAGCAAAAAAGAAGGAGCGCTTAGATGTAGTGCAAAGAGGCGGTGGAATCACCATGGACGAGTTGCGCGTGGCATAAGCCCGATTTCTCTGAGGGAGAGTGACAATGAGTGGAAGATTGCAGCTAGAGTTAATGCGAAAAAGGGAGTAAAAGTCAGCTTCGAGTTTTCTAACCAACAAAAACTTAATGTTCGCCAGCTGACATCTCTGACTATCAGAAGTACCGGATGCGACTTGAGAGAACAATTTCCGGGCGAAAACCCTCTGAACATTTTCGATCTTATTAGGTTCACAGGCGTTCATTAAACTAAAGAAAGGATAAGAGTATTCGAGGACAAGAAGAACAAACATTTGATAAAGTCATAGTTTCATTTCCGGAAGGAAAACGTTATGCGATATGAACCCAAATATCTGCGCGGCTTTGGCAGAGAATCCATCTGCATGAGGTGATAAAACAAGTTTATTTGTATAACTCAAATCTAGTCCCCTTCTGGTGAAGGATTCTCAGAGTGGGTTATTCTGAAAAATTATGACAGCACCAAAAGACATGAAACTACACTTGGATGATGAAATCGCCATCTACCATGTTGAACCCCATATGTTTAAGCGTAGTAAATCGGCATTAATTTCCTCAACAAAAACATTTGCGGTGACTTTAAAATATGAGTAAACACACCTGAGGTCATCGTTATAAATAAAAGTTCACGAATTTCCGAGTTCATTCGAAATATCATTGACGTAAAGAAGGAAGAGTAGCGGATCCCGAACCGTGCCTTGAAGTACGCCGCTCGTGATCGAGTGAGGTGTCGGGTAGCTATTATCAACCATGACTTTCTGATATCGGTTGGATAGACAGGACCTAATGAATTCGAGTAGAGTCGGCCAGATGCCAATGGCCTTCAAGTTTACCAAAAGACGTCTATGGGGCATCTTGTTGAATGCTTTGCTAAGATCAAGGAGATAACCACCACCGACTGCTGTTCATTACGAAAAGAAGTGATTAGATTAACAAATGCCAAGTGGCAAGTTTCGCAGGATTGTTCAGGTAAAAATCCATGCTGACTAGAGCTCAGAAGGAGATTAGCTGGACAGAAGTTAAGAATTTCATAGAAAATTACGCTTTAAAGAAGTTTTGCTGGAGACGGTGTTTTGTCCACGTCCCGATAGTTATTACCATCGGACGGAGATCCAGACTTGAAGAGAGGAATAATAATTGACGTTGTCCATGTTTCGGGAAAGGCTCCTTTTGAGATATAAACCGAGAATAAATGACTAAGCAATATGGGAAGGTCGGATGCCTGTTTAATAATGGAATTTGGAATCCCTTCCGTTCCTGAGCAGTGTGAATTATTCAAACGACTTATGTGTTTCTTAATGAGATCTGAGGAGACATCGATTGTACTCAGTGTCCTATCGGAAAGTAAACGATTAGAGGGACTGGTTCGGATTCAGTAGTGAGGTGTTTTGCAAAGAAAGCACTAAACAACTCCGCCTTGTCACTTTCATCGTTGAGGAAAACTTTGTTATCATTAAGCAGAGGTGGAAGTTCGTGACCACGCGTAGAGGAGGGTCGATGACGGAAGGTGTTGGCGACGGATTTGTCAGGCTTCGGGTCACTGAGAGCAAGTGATTCTCTTTGCCTGTCGCGCGCTTGGCCATATCCTTAAGGGCATTTCGAAAATCTATGCGATTCTAAACTGAACTGATAAAGAAGTAGTAGATAGATCACGCAACTACCGTCTCAGCTGTTTAGTCTGTTGCGAAGAAAGTAAGGAACAAGGAAATCTGAAGAAATAGACTTGAGATATCTGCGCGGCACAAACTCTATGATGTCCTTTGAAACATTGGACATGCCATGACGAAGAATGGTTGCATCTCTACAGGAGAGGAGACCACACCAATCCAATGATCTAATATAGTTATTTAATAATTGGTTATGTACGCAATCGTAGTTTAGGTGAGTCCGAAATGTGCAAGTCTTTATTGAAAAGGCAAGTGGTAAGAAACAATGAATTAATATGTTGTCACTATCAAAGAGGTCCTTTCGAGGACTTTACGCGATTTACGCAGTGTAATTCGATTTTACTAAGGCTTTTGGCAGTGTTGATCCTGCTCTTTTACGCTTGAAACTTTCCCCTTTCTAAATAGGTCATGGACTTCTGATTCTTATATCCTCTCACCTAGGCGCACGCACACAACGAGTAAAGATTTTCGATGTTATCCCCAACACCGCTTCCGTGAAGAGCGGAGTTATTCGGGGTACTGCGTTTGGGCCGATATTATTTTACCTTTTTAACAATGATTTGCCGGATATATTTAAGAATTGGTAAGCCCTCCGTGTATACCGAGGATTCGAAAGATCGTGATTTTGAGTTCGAACTGTTCAAGAGCGGCCTTTTGGCCTTTGCCTTGTAGTACTGAACAAGACGCTTTTCTCATTTATCTCATAAATTTACCTTTTGGTGGTTGGCGATGACCATCAGCCTCAGTTACGTATTGGCGTTGACGACATAAACATCCATGAAGTTATAAAAGATCTGGGTGTAGTATATTCTAAGAGTCTATTACGTTCGGAGTACCGCCGCCTGATAATCTCCAAATATTGAAATGCGCCTTTATAAAATGTATGTTAAAACTGGGCTGGAATACTATGCGTTTTTATTCAGTCGCCTTCGTGCTGCTGAGCAGTGGAATATAGAATCCGTCCAACATTTTCTGTCGAAAGAGTTTCAACCCTTGACCGCCGAAATCTAACTTACCGAGGACGTTGCGGACTTACAGGCCTTGATCTGTTGAGGTTCTGTCGATTACAGAAAGGCCCTTTTTACTGCTTAAGCTTCTAAATAGTTGTACTTTTGATCCACGAGATGTTTTGATTTCCTTCTCCGGCACGTACCATTACATAGCGTCAGTTATTTTCTGTGGGCACTATTACAATGCAAAACAAAATACCAACAAATCTGAGAATTCTGCAGAATTATTCTTAGTTTAAGAGAACCATTACCCGTTTATTACATTCAGGAAAACTCCCGCAATTTTGGGGTCTGAATCCACATAATTAATCTTCCGTAGTGCAGGTGTTCATGGTCTGTTTTTCCCCTTCCCGGTATCATCCTGTGAGAAATGATGCTGATTCTACAGCCCACAACACAACGGAAAATTTCTTCAGCTGACAGCGTTCAACTGTTTTCCAATGCACTTTGTCCGGTCTATTCCCAGTTGTACGAAAAGGAATATTCAGTGAAAAAATTTGACGTAGTTAAAACCATTAATTTTTGGACTGACGTCATTACATGGAAGTAGTTTTTTCCCTGAATCCTCCGACCTACCCAAAACACCAACACCAATTTTTGCTTTCTTATGAGTCTTCTTTACAGCTAGCCTGATCCGTGCTTTATCTCTATTTGAACATGCTTAAAAATTGAGACTAAGTATTATTATTAATATTATTGATATCATTATTACTACTATTATCATTATTACTATTATTATCATTTTTACTATAAGCGGCCTTTCCATTTAACCGGAGCAGACGACTGCCCGAATCACGTAAGTGGTCAAAACTGCATCGTATGCTTAACTTTGTTAGTAATTTTACCTTTCTGTTTAGGTTAGCACCGAGGCATAATTTGGTCAGAAGTAATTTTTTTAACGTAAACGGCAAGAGCCCAAATGCATGTCTCGCAAAAGAATGGGCACTGTAAAAATCATTTTTGGGTAGAAAAGTCGATTAACATGAGTTTCCAAACGACTAGGCAACTAAACGCGGAAGGTCGTATATGCATAGCAGAATGGCTCTATTAATTGGCTGCGGAAGTTCCATGACCATCTTCATCAGAAGGATATCTCAAGCAACATTATTCTTCGTATTTTCGATTACTATTCTACTTTCCTCTTTTTTCTTTAGAAATTTCCCACTTCGCCTTAGGGATATGGTCACAAAATGCACAAGTTGATTTCTGCATCAGTACATGTTTTACTAAATGCAGGCCCTAAGCCTTTTGAAAAAGTGCTGGCTGGCGATTGAACTTTACAACCATCCAAAGAGTTCTTTTAGCAAGAACAAATAGATAAATGCCCTCGTCTTACACGTCATGGACACGAATACTTTAATTTCTTGTACCCACTAACCAGTCTGAATATAGCCTTGTGTGCCGCTGAAACTGAAATCAGTGTGTAGGCAGCGGACTGCCTCGGTCAGTTCTGGCGAGCCCCTGAGGCTGCAGCCCTTCACTGAAAACAAAAATATACCTATTAAACGGAAATAAGATTTTGATTATATCTACATGACACATTTTTACGAAATTTGAACTGCGACTGAGGAAGCAGTTGCTGCTGCCAGATAGGACTAATCCTAGCTTTTTTGCGTAAACCGACTCTTAGCCCTACTTTCAACACTAATCGCAAGTGCGACCTTAGACTGATGGCGAGGCGAATGACCAGGATTTATCACCGTTATAAATTCACCAGAAGAATTGCAGTGGTGACACAGGTCTAAGGTCCCACCTGACAGCACCACGACCACGTGAGCCGCGCCTACCTGTCAGTCAGCTGTGGACGTTTGCTTATTTGTTAGCTGAGAAATCGTCCTCTGCTGCCACCAACAGAGTACCAGACAATATAGGAGGAGGCCAATATTCAGGCTGTATCCGTCTTCTGAAACAGTCTGCTTCGGTGAAAATAATATTTGTTTCGCAGTAAGCTCACGGCAAGACTGTGTACTGGGACCTCCAAATGTTAGAATTATCGGCATGCTTGGCGCGACGTGTCCACTTCTAGTCAGGCAAGCAACTTTACCTCAAACTCACTTGTTCCTGGAAAGCCGGTGGTCAGAATTTAATTCAACTTCAAATTGGCAGCCCTCAACGTAGCAAATCCGGCCCGAAAGACTATCCACAGCATTATCCAAGGATGAAGGCTTGTTCGCCGATCATTTAGACGATTCACTGGTCTGGCGTTACACGGTCGCGAGTCGTTACTCGTCCTGAATATGGGGCAATTGAATTTAGTTTCCCCCAGCATTTTTAAAGCAGTCAGGAGACGACTCCGAGATTTCAGCCAGTGACATTCCCTCATCTAAGTTCACCGTTTAAATCCGGGCGCTGGCACATTTGCGCAAAAGCAGTAGATACCTGCCGTTTAAAATTTTTATGCGGACGTCGGTTACGGTAATGCTCTCTGTCATAGATATAAAGGGTGTTCCCTGACGATAGTGTATTGTGTAATCCTTTTGCAAGCCCCCGTATCATAGTCCGTGTTCCCCAATCTTTGTAGAGGCCGAAGTACGTTGCTATGTCTCATCAAATTTCTAGAAACATCACGGCGAGCCGTTTTTTCTCCTGCGTAAGTACCATTCGCTGGTACGGTAATGACTAGTTGCGTACCCTCCCACCTTAGGCATCTGCTGGATAAACCCAATACTGTTATCCCGCCATCGATAGCTCTGCTATGGCTCTTATAAACTTGCGCGCAGTCACCAAAGTCTGACTCCACACAATTCAGGCAAAAATGGAAAAAAGAAGCGGTTTTTTACTCGGTAGCGTTGACGAGGCCAACCGGTGGTCCTATTAAGCTAGTATGTGGTGTCTAATGAGTCTGGATGTTTGTTTTGAATATACGCAGTTCGCGAAGTCTTACCTTTACAACCTGTATGAGAGCTGCAAATCTTCCGACCAAACGGTGATCCCATGCGGCCTCTCCTTTCTGTTCACTGTTCTGATTCGCATATAGCCAGCCTTTTTTTATTTCGATATGTCATGGATGTGCGAGTGACTTGTCGCCAATACGACGTAGTATCCAGATCCTACTATCTGACTAATTATCACCGTATCTTCCTTCGTGTTCTCCCGACCTGTACGTGTGCTGTCTGATTATGGCTTCCCTGAGAATACTTCAGAGCTGCCTGAGCGGTTTGTAGCCCTTGCTTCCATATGGGGATCTTCTGCGGTCGATAACCTCTGTATTGTAACCACCAGAGATCGGGCTAATTTAATGTACATCTCTATCACGTCTAGCTTGATTTCACGCCGAAGAGTCAGAGTACCGAGAAACTTATCGGAAAACACTTGCTTAAAGGCTCACGACGAAATGCGTTTTACTCCCGGGCCGAACCACACCACCCCCTCAAGTTTTCCCGAGGTCCCCTACCTCCGGGTTTTTGCTAACGCACCTGCTAACTCTGCGATTTAACTTCTGCTCCACTTCGTCGCCCATACAAGTGTCATTGACCGGGAGGTATTGGGTTTTCCACTAGTCTGTCACTCTATTCTTAAAATTTCAGTCTGTGTTAACTGTGCGAATTCCTCGGTACAGAGATCCTTTTCCTTTAAACTTGATTTTATTTATATTTCTTTGGGCTAAACCATATATTCAGCGGCTTTTATGTGCGATCTTCACCCTTCGCCTCCCGTCTTCCGTACGCATTGTTTGATTCTGTTGAGTAATATCCCTAACCGCCCTCTCCTGTTTGTAGTTAGTATGAATGGCAGCGAAAAGGTCCAGAAGATAGAAAGCTTTATCAATGACAGACTAAGAGGTGATCTGAGGTAATTTTCTGCAATAATAACATACTTGTCAGGGCCACATTAGAGGCTGGCGATGCGGTCTATGCAGAAATTTCCGAATACCTTGAACTGCAAAATTTGCTTGAGAAATTTTCCGAAATGAAAGTTAAGAATGCCAATTTAGACACCATGGTGGACATCGGTTGTAATTTCTACGTAAAAGCAAAGGTGTAAGTGGCTCCGGCGTCTGAGAATTCAGTCCTTCTATAGAGTACCTGTATGTGGACATTGGCTTGGGATTCTACCTAGAAATGACACATAAGGAAGCTCTCGCCTACATCAAGGAACGGACTGAATTACTGAATGATCGCGCGGAACTGTTCCGCAAAAAGTCGTTTGAAATCAAGGCGAGAATAAAAGTTTGCTTAGAGGTAATTTATGTTCTTTTGTCTGACTTATGATTTAGGGTTTGCGCGAAGTGCAATCGCTAAACGTTGAGGAACGTCCAGATTATCACGATGCTCTCAGCTGACGTCGCATTATTTTCCTATCGGTTTTGACTTCTCATAATACCCCATGAATAAAATTTATCTGAGTTACCTTGCTTCCCATTTTCCACGTAGAGTGGCGTCACCTTCAGTCACATGAAATTACTAATTTCGGCGTGGATTCTACCGATGAGTTCTCTGACAAATAACTTCTTGTCGGCTGCATCCTTTTGACCTCCGGTCCGATACAGTTATGACTTCCCTTTATCAGCTTGTGTTCAACTGTCCAGAAGCAAGTAGCGGACCACCCTACTACTTAACACCAGTTATTTTAACTAGTATAACTGTCCCCTGGTAGATTTTCCAATTCAAATGTACCTGCCCTGAGTGCCACTCACAAGGCTAGGGCTTAAGTAGCCCCCGTCCAGTATTAGGTCATGTGTCGACTTCCATCGAGCTTGGATCATGTGTGGGGGAAACGGCAAGTACGAAACATCTGAGCTAGGGCCGCTGTCACGCCTAATCTTGTGCCTGGCGAACTTTACGCTGATGTACAACGGAAGACGGCTTACTTTTCAGGGTGCGTTAAGTCATGACTTGGCGGCAGTCAGGTGGCGTGGTAACTCAGCTTCATAGACTGAGAGTTGGCCTGTGCCAGTTCCTTTCTAATTTGCTCCTACGGCAGTTCGCCGATGCGAGGTCCGAGTGAATGTGTTTTGTGTGGTTTAAGGAACCAGCGTGTGTTACGCACTCGCTCGCGACGAATGCGTCGTTTGTCCCCGCCCATATCAGCTCCCGGTCGTTTTTGCCATTCCACTGGAGCGTGGTGGATGTGGGTGAGTGAGGTCGGCCCTGCGCAAGTTCTACCGCGGTCCGGACCACGCTGTTATCGCTGACTCCCCAGGCGATGACGGACCTTGCAAGCTTCGACCATTCCCTGCGCAAGTCCAAAGTTATGTAGGATGTGCATTCGAGAATATCTGATTATTTTACAGAAGTGACATTCATGACAGCAATAACGACTTCTGGCGATTGGAGCGTTAGTAATGTGGCAGGCGGTAGCTTTAATGCAGTTCCGCATGTTTGGCTACTGAACTAGAGCCGGCTGGCGGTTTGCTGGCTCAGTTTTGGGCCATGAAAGTAAAACCCCTTCGCGAGCGGCTCGTCGTCCACACATTCTAAATCGGTTAGGGTTCAGTTGAGGACTTAGCCAGACGAATCAACAATTCGAAATATGGTTCCGGTTCGAATCAAACCGACAGACATCAAGCAGGCTGCTGATAAAAGCAAACAGGCGAGTTCCAGGCAGCAGTTCAGAAGACGAAGATGCGATCACTGGAACAATAAATTTACTGGCCTGACGTTTCGGATTCCCACTCGGATCCATCATCAGAGACATTCGCAGATAAAGGTGACGCGCACTGTAATTAACAGCTCTCGCAATCACCGCTGGGGTCGTAAATGATGCGGTGGTGGCTTGTCAGTCCGAGTCGTTAATCGCCGTGATTTCGTTATCCGTGCTGGATGCTGGTGTGACGATTGCTCGGCAAATTGGCTCACTGTCGGTGTGATAACTCCTCACCCGCGCCCTCCCCACTTGAATGATTCCCCTGCTCAGGGAAAATCTCAGCACGGAATATGGTAACGGGAGGTCACTGCGCTTGTTGGTGGATTACGGGCCTGAGGACCATGACTCGAGCAGCTCGCGGCTCACGCGGTTGTCAACCCTTGCGAGGATTTCGGCCTCAATCAGGCTATCGATGCGACCCTCAACAGATGAATCGGGCGGTGGTAAGCGGTGATATTTAAAGGGGACCTGCTATAAATCAAGGCAGTCCATACTCCGATAGTCTGCGCTTCAGGCGGCCATTCGTGATATCCAAAAAGTACCTCTCGTTTGCATCTCTCTGTTCTGACTTCTAAGTGAGTTCTGACGCATAATAAGGCTTACGCGCGGGAAAGCCTGTGGGGCCCATGCATTATTGAAAGTAGACCTAGTACGATAGTTGTTCGGTTCGTTCCAAAAAACCTAAACTCCAACCACGACTGGACCTAAAAAGTGCAGTGTTTGCTAGCAAAAGGGTTTATTTATAAGAAAAAGTCTTTATAAAACTTATTTGGGCAGGTCAGGGAGAGGCCTTTATTTTACAAATTCACAGACTACTTTTGATAAACGAATACGGGAAATAAATTAAAGAGGCCTATTGTCATTCGATGCACCTATCTGCATCGATCGCAGTTCCTTTTGGCGTTGTAGGAGATTCTGAAATAGAATTGAAAACAAAAGAGGCGACAGTGAGATTCTTGTCTGTGCAGTATACCAGCATTAAAATAAGTCGTTGGTTAGGCTTGTACAGCGCCGACTAGGGGGGGGGGGGGGGGGGTTATTCTGCACGATGCGTAAGGCGTCAAGAAGCAAAGCCCATTGATGAGGCTTACCCTTTTTATTTTCGACACTTGTTCCAGAGCAGACCTCTGCGGTAGTCCTTCAGACGGACGCAACGCAGCACGGGTATGTGAAGGGTTCTACAAGGAAAAGTGTGTTGTGTCAGACCAAAATTATAAAGCGACTCCGTGTGTGGGTAAATGTCTGCTGTTATAAGCTGAGGTGAGTCGCGATATAGCTGGAGCAATACTAAAGCCGGTGACGAAAAATTGATGGTTGTCTACCGAGACGAAGTGAATACGACTTCAAGACCGATATTTCTTAATTGAGTAAGACTGTTAAACCTCAGTCATCTGGAAGTGTGTACTCAAGCTCCCTGTGAGGTCCTCGGGCACAGAAGCACTAATTGCGGCGGACATTCGCATTCCAGGCAGAGGACAGGAAGTTCGTTCGATCGCCGAAATCATCTCTTTATTTGTCTGAGCCCTCGAACTCGTGCAGGAAACGATTATCAGGGATAAAAGTGGAGATAGAACAAGAAACCGTTAAAGGGGACATGAGCCAATCAAACGCCAGTGGCGCCATTCTGGAGGCGACTGCGCAAGGCTCTGTATACCGGCGACAGGTCGATACATCGATCGACCGAGTCCTCATTCAAGGCCCAGGCTTCTGCCTTGCTTCTGGCGCGGGAGATTATCCTCGTGGCCCCTTCCGCAGGTGTGGGCAGCCACTTGCGACATTTTGTTATCCCACCGCACGGCAAGCCCGGTTACGTATGCGCAATCCGAGCACTGAACGCATACTCCGATCGCGCATACACGAATATGAGCTGGTTTTTCGACGGGTGGCGATTTAATCGATGTATCGATCACCAGAATGGCGTCACTGGCGTTTGATTGGCGCATACCCCCTATAACTGTTTCTTGTTCTGACCCCGCTTTTAACTCTGATAATGGTCTCCTGCACGAGTTCGAGAGCTCAAACAAATAAACAAGTGACTACGGCGATCGAACAGCACTCCCTTTTTCTACTTATAAAAGTCACTTGTTTTCTCCCAACAAGACTTGCATTTAGCAGCCAAAATGCGGCCAAGGTTGAAATCTGGACACTTGGGATCGAAATATCGACTTTAGTGATGTAGCCCCAAGACGTAGAATGTCGACTTAGTGACGCATATGACGGCGACAGATGACTTTAAGTTAGGTCAATCCCGCCCAAGGATTGAATGACCTACACTGTCGGTGTCCCAGCATTATCATAATCAGTTCTTGTCAGGCCAACAATTTATGCCTTCAGTTCGGAAAAGAAAACCTTGAGAAAGGAGACAAAAAGGGGCATGTTACGGAACGCATGAGATGGATGAGAGGTAACGATATGAATTGGGAAAAATGTTACGTTCCTATCCGAGTGTCGTGCAGCCGCCCACGGAGTGCTGGAACTCGGAAATGGCCCTGTCTGCTAGAGTATCTGAAGACTACCCAACGCGATGACGGGTGTCGAATAATCAAACTGAACCCAGCGCCTGTTAATTTGGAAATAAGCAGGTTATCGAGTCGGGCGGATAAGCGGCCACAGACCGTGCAGATTTAATACCTTCGGTGTGGATTGGCACTAGTCTAGCGAGTCGGTGAACTGTAAAACAGCCGCAGGCGAATGTCGCCTGTTATCCAATAAAGCTCCACTCGCTGCTGTCACCGTCAGGATAGACCCCAACAATAAATCGGACGTCATGAGGACCTTGCCTCAGTAATGTGTCGAATCAATCTACAGTTACTATCTCTTCAAATCCCAGCACCAGTAGACTCCGCCGCCGCCGTAGCTTTTTGGCCAAAAACAGACAAGGTCAAGTCAGAAGCGGAAGGGATAATTGACCCGAAACGTCAATTCAACGATTGGTGGGGGGAGGGGGGGACATGAGTGGCTACTCCAGGACACCGACTACACAGGCTGCTGATGACGTAGGCTGGAACCGACCAAAGTGACACTAGTGCGACCACCGCGTGCACACACATTTTGTACTAGTCAACTTCCACACATCTTGATTGTCGTAAGCTCGAAATTTGAGGGGCTCTTTAAGTGACCTACGCAGGGAGACTGGAGCATTCAATCCCAACTCCGCCGTCGTCATTGGCCAACCACACCCTACCCTCATGTCAGGAAGTCTGAAATGTGAGGCCTAGTCGGCAGTTTTTGATTGAGAAGACTTATTAATAAGTCCGCATCGTCGATTTACAGGCCTACACCGTCCTCAAGTGTTTTCCGCGCGTTACCAAGCAACCGCCTGCAAGCGCCTTAGAGCAGGGTGCATGGCAAAAGGACACAAGTGTGTTCCTCCTGTCGCCGGCGGCAACGCCCCCAGAGACGACCGACTCTGAGCGTGCAGGCCGGCGGTTGAGAGAGTCTGGTTGAAGTCAAAACAACAGACACAGATTCTAATTTTAAAGTTGTTTTGTTTGCGGTCAGACGTTATATCCTTCGTGGCCTGTGGATGTTGGTCATGTGCTGAGTTGTCTAATAAAGCTCTGTAGTTTATTTCAACTGAAACTATTCCCGTGAATATGCTAATTGAATGCATTTGTCTGCTCTACAGGGCTACTGTAACCGATGGGTATATTCGACACCTCTTCAACCGAGGGCACAAAGCTGTAAAAGCAGCTCGTGAAATTTGTGCTGGTACGTGGAAAACAGCATGCCTGGAAGAACTGTTAAATTCAAAAACGGCACGGTCGAAATCAAAGGGGCCTCTGCCCCGGAGAACTGACTAGTTTCAACGCGGAACATCTTAATTCACTTTCGAAAGGAAATTGTAGGCAAACTAAGTGAGAACTTTGTAAAAGACAACGACGACAGAGTAGGCAGAATTTAATGACCTAGAATTTCGCAACCTCTTACTCAACTGTGAATAGTCATTGCATATTAATAAATTTTCCAACAGGAAAACTGCCCAGGGGGGTCAAACCTGACAGCTAAATAAAAGGAAGCCTAAACAAGACCGATTACGCTAGTAAGATGGAAACAGTGCTGAGGGATGCCAGCACATTTTCCTGTGAAACCCATGAGGAGGAAGAAACGAAAACATTGTCGGAAAAAAGGCGAAGTCGTTACTCCATAATCAAGTAGTAGAAGAGGAAATTGCTACATGGCTTAGGCTTATGGGCTCACATATTCCCAGACTATACGGTCTACCAAAACTTCACAAGTCAAGAACACCACTCCGACCAATATTATCACTGTGAGATCCGTCCCAACATAAACTCGCTCAATGGCTAGTTCAAGAAATCAAACCAATCGGGCGCAACCCTGCCGCTAGCACTACATGAAGCGCCATCTAATACACTGATGACCTGAAGGGTCAAGATGCATTGAATAAGCCCATGAGATAAGTTGACGCGTAGAGCCTGTTTGCAAACTTGCTGCTGAGTGAGACGATTGAAATCATTTGTGATCATGGAGCGGAAACGTGTCTAGCATCAAGTCAAATACAGGAACCATTACAATTATGTACTAAACACATACAGCTCTTGTTCAGTGAGTAATTGCACAGACATATCAACAGCCTAACTATTGGCAGTCCATTGGGGCCGGTCCTAGTGGACATCTTCACGTCAAGCCCCGAGGAAAAAATTAGCCCAAAGTTTACACCGAGCTGCATTTTATAGATGGTATACAAATAATATTTTGTCTTAGTCATTGGCCCGAAAGACGGGGAGTTACCACTCAGAGTTATGTACATGGCCATACAAAAATAAAATTTACGCCCGAGCGGGAGAAGAAAGACACGCTACCCCTCTCAGGCGTTTTTGCAGAGGCTGGCGAACGATTCTATTCAGAGACCCGTCTATCAGAAACCCCTTGGAAAAGACAGTACAAGCACTTTCCCACTTTCGCTCCACTTCAGAGAAAACGTTACTTAGTTTTTTGTCTGTTCAACAGAACCACTACGGTCTGTTCCTCAGATATGATCAATGATGGGATCACTTTCTTGAAAGATGTCTTCCCTGAAAGCGGGTATTCGGAGAACTGGATCGATAAGTATCGTCATCACTGAGAGGTAAGTTCGGTGGAAATGTCTGCATCAAAAGTCGGTGAGTATCTACCTCCCTTTTAAGGGCGATAATTGGTCAAATGCGATGGCTTAGATGCACGACTGAACGGACATACGCCGCCTTAAGCTTGTTAATAAGCACTATAGCGGATGGTTCAGTTGGGCAAATCAAAGACATCCTGTCTATGCACATCACCTCAAACTGTATTTATGAGCCTACACGTAACTACGGGTGAAAATACATTGGGCGCACTAGAAGGCAGGTAGCAACTCGGTCGGCTGACCATATGACGAAATGACTGCTGAGGGCGGAAAATAAGGTACCCAGGGGGTCGGTTACGAAACACCTGGTTGGTACTGGCCGTGCGGTGAAACCAGTGGCTACATTTAAAGGCCTATCTTGGGCGACGACTAGGCATCCCCTGCGCTTTCCAGAGGCCACTGCAGTAGGGAGAACGCTGGAGCTCTGTAGGCGATTGGACAACGTGATCGACCTTCAACAGTCTGTGACCGAAATGACCCTATTCCTTCTCCCGTTCCCCACATGACTGACTAACGGTCCATGCTGTGAAGTTGCAATCACGCGTGACGAGACTTCGCTGCAACCTGAGCTCGCTTCCCTCCCCTCACACCATGCCCACCCGCATGTCAGATTGACACTCCCTGTTTTTAATTACCTGCCACATCTGATCGCCCTAGGCCGTTTTTTGTTCGACAGTTTGCCTTATGAACATGCAATGGCCGTGCGCAGTTAAATAGGCGGACGCAGAAAATGTGTAGCGTCATTAAATTCTGCATGGTTCGTCGTGTTTGCATTGTACAACCTTATTGTGGAAAAACAACGTCCGAACAGATAACTGGCGGAAAAGTTGCATAGGCACCACCATACCACCCTCAGCCGCTTGGAGTCGGCTGGAAAAGTCGAAAAGTTTGGAGCGTGGGCGCTGTATGCTTTGGCGGGAAACATGTATCGGTGTAAAGAAGATGAACACACGATCTCTGGGACAGTAGGTGTATTAGTATGAGCTTTCGGTCTCGTACAGGAGGCCACCGTCAGAGACTGTGAGAATGCGACATCAAATGAGCTGTTTTTGTGGTCAAGCCGTGAAGGGGGGGGGGGACAGACATGAGTGCAGAGGGTGGTATTCGCGATAAGTTGAGTCCCACGCCGTCTCACGGTGGCGTGACTGCGTGCACCCTTGGCTGGAAATTGGGTCTCGTCTCTTGGCCTCGGGAACGGAGCGCGTGATAGCAGGGGGGTATGTCAACGCGCCTGTTGATAGAGTTAGTGTCAGACACCCAGGCCTCTAACAGTTCTCGTCCTGTCTTATTGTTGACCAGCGCTACTATCCGCGTGCTCGCGAAATTGAATTCGTGGCCTTACTCCAAGGTGTGAGTGGCGATGTGAGACAACGGGTCGCCTCTCCGGACCGCCCGTTTGTGCTCCGTTATTCGTTAGCTAAGTCGTCGTCCGGTCTGTCCTGCGCAGTGGCGAGGGCAGTCCCGACATGGGATCTGATAGACGACACCCGGTTGTTCTCCCACGTCTTGGCGATCCTTCACTCGCATGATTTTGCGGCGCACGGTCGCTGTCGGACGGTGAGCGATACCCACGCCGAGCTCTCCAACGATACGTTCCATCTCTTCGGACACGTTCTTTATAAATGGTAGAGGGTGCCAGAGTGTTGGCGGCTCTCCTCCGTTTGTTCGCCGTGGGTGCGTGCGGAGGCAGCGGCTGACGAAGATGCTCGGGTATCCATTCCTTGCCAGTTGGTCCCGAAGATGCCGAAGTTCTCGTACTCGTCCCTCTGGTTCACTGCAGTGCGTTTTTACCCTTTGGAAGAGTGTCCTAACACAGCTTCGTTTATGCGCCATTGGGTGGTTCTTGTGGCAGTTGAGAATCTGGGTCGTGTTAGTCGCCTTTCTGTACACCGTGGTGTTGAGTTCGCCGTTGGGTATCGGTGTCTCACCATTGTTACCAATTTTCTCGCGCGGAAAAAAAAGCATCCGCGGGCACAAATGAAGATTTTTACATCGATGTTTTTAGCTCTGCCAGCGACTGCGCCTAACCTCCCCTATCAGTTGGTTGACCGGTTTGGACAATCGGCTGGCGTACGCGAAGGAGGAGGAAGGTCAATTATCTCAGTGCATATTACTCACTACAAACAATCTGACGCGCTGTAGACAATCACGGAGCTTTAAAAGCCGTGGCTTGCAAGGTTGCTAACTGAGGATTTCAACTTAGACCACGCAGTCAGCCCAGTGTGTGCCTGTGTGAAGTGACAGACTGGTGGACTAAGCCAGACTGTAATGGCTACTTCTTAATGTAGCCCCAATGGCACCCTCCACATGCAAGACCCCAGCCGTCGACCCGTTGTGTGTGAAACCCCAGCGTGTTGCGTATGGGGAGCCACGCCGCGTGTGCGTGGCACGTGCAGACGAGCTTCCTAACCCTGTCAACAGCTGCATCCAACCCCAAACCAGAAAACTGATCGGCTCAGACAATCGACTGGTGTACGGGAGGGGAGGAGGGGGTAAGGTCAACTCTCTCAGCGCATATTCCTTACGACAAACAATCCGACGCGCTTGAGATTATCACGGAGCTCTATAAGCCGTGGCTTGGACGGCTGTCAGTTGGTAGGATACCTCGGTCCTTCTCCCAGAACGGAGTCAGGCTGCAATGGCTCCCTCTTACCCAGTGTGATCTGTATGGCACCCCCACCACAGTCAATATACCAGGTCGCAACCGACAAGACAACGAGCTCGTGACCCACTGGCTAGAGTGTTGAATTCTAAGCAACAGAACGCGGGTTCGAACCTCAGGGATTGCAAACTTGGGACTGCGTATGGCTGGCTGATGACGGCTGATAAGCCAGAAGCGGTCAGTCCAGTCATTCACACTCTGCATATGGCAGTAACCGCTGTGTGACTGTCTGTAGGGCTCCAGATCGAGCCCTAAGGCACAACGGGACGAGGAAATCCCGTAGCGCGATCGGTGAGCGCCTCCTACTACACTCCCTCCCACTCAGATGGGATCCCAGTCGCCCCCCTTTTTCTCGTGAAGTCCTGGTTATTTGTAAGCGGAAAAGGGGGGCATGGTGGAGTACCTTGGCATTGGCCCGCGCCGCACCAACCACCTGAACCCAATCCCGCCTTCCGGTTTTCTTGACTGTTTTGACAGCGGCTCAGGTGGGAGAGGAGGGGGTGCGGTAGATGCAGCGCAAGTCTGCCACAACTATAGACTAATTCGAACACGAGTCACCGTCCTTGCGCTCTCCGTGCTGTAGGGTACACTGTGGACATCTTCTATAAAGACGGTCAAGCTGGCGACAAGAAACGCTGCCTTCACGTCAATATAAGGCAAAAAGGAAGGAGTAGGTGGGTCGTGACGAGCAGGCAACTATTCCTCGGCTGATGTAGGATCTGTATCCGCAAAAGACCATGATTTGCGTGTGATGGGGTTGGGAGGACATAAGCTGTGGTACAGGGGCGCTCACCGATCGTTCTCAGGGAACTCGCGGGCTCGTTCTGCGGGCTCTCTCTCGAGCCCAACCAGCAGCCGCACAGCGGCACATGATATAGGCAGTATGTTATTGCCGACAGAGACAAGGGAGACTGGAATGGCCATTTCTGGCTTATTAATCGTCGTCATCCAGTCATACCCAATCCCGAAGTGTGGAACACCCGAGGCTCGAACTCGCGACCTGGCCTATATCATGCGCCGCTGTGCGGCTGCTGGTTGGGCTCAAGAGAGAGCCAGTAAGGCACAACGGAACGAGTGAGTTCTGCAAGAACGACCGGTGAGCGCCCCTGTACCATTGTATATTCCCGATCGCAACCGGCAGGGCAACGGGCTCGTGGTCTAGTGGTTAGACGCGTCGACTTCGTAACCAACAGGTCGCGAGTTAGAGGCTCGGGTGTTCCACACTTCGGGCTTGGGTATGGCTGGCTGACGACGGCTAATAAGCCAGAAATGGCCATTCCAGTCTCCCTTGCGTTTGTCGGTAATAACATACTGCCTAGGGCATAAGCTATTATAAAATGTTTAAGCAAAACCAGACGTTGGACAGAAACGCCTATGCAGCCTAACTGCGCGGTTTACATGAAGCTATTCAAGAAAAAAAACGGCCGTCAAGGCCAACTGATTCCGCAAAATTGCAACACCCGGCCCTACACGGGACAACTCGTCAAAACAGCCTTCCGAGAGCTCAATTGGGAAATTCTGCAGAACCTTTCGTGCAGTCCCGACCTTGCTTAGTCAGAAAATCATCCCTTGTGGTCGCTTCCGAACCAAGGCGACAAAGACGATGACCTAAAAAAAACTTTTTGAACCCTAGAAGTTACTAAATGTCAAATGCTGCAAAAAACGGTGACAGCGGCCTTGCAGAGCAGAAAAATGCCTTAGAATGGCGTGAAAAACTTGTCACAACTGGAAAAACCAATAGATGGAGAAGCGAAGCGGGGCATGCAGGAAAAATAACTTCATATGCAAGATTTGTGTGAAATGCCTTAAAAGATAATAGCGCCTTGCAGTACCGAAAAAAGAAATGCGCATAAATCTGGATTCTACCTTGCCGACTTGACATTTTTCGAGGCCCGAACACACCCCGTCATAGGCGTAATCGGGATTCGTGATGGCGGAGAGGAAGTCGGCCGCAGGCGGACAGAGGTTAGCTTGGGTCCGAATAACACCGAGAGGAGTCGCACGATCCGAGGACCGTCTTGTTGCCTCCTGATGACGGTACTCCGCTCTGGCGGCCGCACCAAAATCAGTCGGAGTAACGACCCCCGAAACGTGCTGGTTGGAGGGTCTCCGATAATTTGTGGAGCACCTTTGGCGGGCATTGTAGGTCGCATTGCCATTCGCTCTGGGAACAGCTACAAAGATCAAATTTGGTTTGCCTAAGAAGACGAATTGACCGAAGAATGACAAAAGTCTAATAGAGCGATAGGCAGTGGAGCTTTAAAAAGGCATAAGGAGGTCTTTATGAGGCCACACGATAATCGGATCAAGTATAATTTTTGACGTATGCTTGAAATCTACGGTTGCAAAGCCAATGGCACAGAATGCAGGCAAATTTAGCGGGTGAACATGTAGTCTCCTGAGAATCAAACGGTTCATGGCCCTGCACGCAGGGTTGAGAAATCACGGTGGTGCACTGCTGCCATATGAGTCGTACAATAACAGGTGGTAGTTGCACATGGGTCAACTCTACAAGGCAGTGCACCGCGTAAACGCATCATGTTCCTGATGTTACCGACAAAGACAAGGGAGACTGGAATGGCCATTTTTGGATTATTAGCCGTCGTCAGCCAGTTATACCCAACCCCGAAGTGTGCACACCCGGAGGCTCGAACTCGCGACCTGTTTGTTAGAGGTCCACGCCTCTAACCACTGAGCCACGAGCCCGTTGCCCTGTCTGTTTTCTATCGGGAATACACAAAGGTAGGGGGAGCTCACCGATCGTTCATACGGAACTCACTCGTTCCGTTGTGCCTTAAGGGCACTCTCTCGAGCCCAACCAGCAGCCGCGCAGCGGCGCATGATATAAAGGCAGAATTATATTACCGATAAAGACAAGGGAGACTGGAATGGCCATTTCTGGCTTATTAGCCGTCGTCAGCCAGCCATACCCAAGCCTGAAGTGTGGAAAACCCGAGCCTCGAACTCGCGACCCGTTGGTTTAGATGTCAAAGCCTCTACTCACCGGGCCACGAGCCCGTTGCCCTGTCGGTTTTCGATCGGATCGGTGAGCGCCCCCTAACATTGTATATTCCCGATCGAAAACCGACAGCACAACGTGCTCGTGGCCCGGTGAGTAGAGGCGTTGACTTCTAAATCATGCACGGCTGTGTGGCTGCTGGTTGGACTCGAGAGAGAGAGAGTCCATAAGGCACAACGGCACGAGTGAGTTCCATAAGAACGATCGGTGAGCGCCCCCTACCATTCAATCATGTTCCTACTAACCAGGGTAGGACATGGGAGTATGGATCCCCGCAATGTAGGTGGCCTTACACTAAATCCATGGAGATTAGGGTTGGGGATATGACGGAATTTAGGACTAGGGTTAGGATTACAGACTGAGTTAGGGTTAGTGCTAGTTCTAGGACCAGGGCACGGGAATAGGTACCCCGCCTGGAATCTAGCGAAAGGTCACTTGCATTACGGTCCCAGTTCCGTGTCTTTCCTCCAATCCTAGTAGAGGTGGTGCGTGAACTGCTATTAACAGGTGTTTTGGCAGGTTGAATAATTCACTTGAGCAGTCGCGAAAAACTCGGTGGGGTTCGGACCCACGACAGCAGGAGCAGGGCTTGAGTACGGCACACACTATTGGCTGCCATGCGGAGCAGCGTTCGAAGATGGTATAATGGAGTGGGTTTGCCTCTAAGTCAGTCCGTTAGCTTTGGTGGGATGTTCACTTGGTTAGGGTTTTGCCGTCCCGGTATATAAGGCCCTGCGGACACACTGTTTTCTAATAGAAGCGAAGAGACGAGTCGCAGGAAGTAATCTTGATGGAGACACGATCGCTGGGACAATTAGCACACCAAGTGCAACGATCCCGGATGAAGGGGGGGGCGTGAATGTTCATAGGTATGCGGTAGCATGGCGACTGCGTCCTATAAGTACTACAGCCCCTTGTGCGTGAATCACCTGTATCTGCTGTTGTCTCTAATGATGGATTCGAACAGGGATCTGAAACGTCAAGCTAATAAAGCTCTTGTCCCAGCGATCGTGCCTCCTTCTTCAACACTGCTTTCTGCCAGAACTGAGTCTAGCACTAGCAACAAGGCTCATTCTGATCGAGAACTTTGAGTGATGGTAACAACGAAGAGTGACTGTTGGCTAATCGGTCATGTTTTACAAAAAAGGCACTGAGATAGCTCAGTAGCTCTGGTGCGGTCGTATCCGTTTCAGACCTGGAATGTTCTTGAAAAACTACGCGCCAAAGTTTATCTGTGTGTCGCTTCAGTCCTAAGCGACCACTTTTTTAACCTGCAAAGTCCCATCTAACTGTCAGACCAACACCTCCTGTGCCTCAATCTTTACGTACTCTAGACTCCAATCAACCAGTTGTCAGTACTGGTGAGGTGCTGCCCAGCTCAGATACTCCAAAGTACATCCTTCCGATGTGGTCAGCGACGCCAAGAGGGAGAAGCCCACAAACATACTCTTGAATTTACAGGCGGTGCACAATTCCTTTCGTAGGCCTTGATGGAATTTGTTAGTTGAACAACATCAGAATGTCCCTCTTGCGACTACCGAGTAGAGCAGTATAATAAGCCGGTTTTTTGCAAATGTTATAATGGCACTTCGTATTGAAGATCGATGTAAAACACCATCAGGGGTGTCCTCAATTATGACATACAGCAACTCAATTGAACTCCTGCAGAAATTTCTGGTGGGGATACCCGTTCGTATGCTCTGACTGTGGTCTCTGGATTATCACTGTGTTTGGGGTGGAGGGGCTAACAAAAGGCTACTTGACCTTTGTGCTGACTAGCCGCAGGTTCTTTATCAAGTTGGGTAATCTTAACGGCTGTAGAGGAAGTTACTGTGTACGCTGGGCAACGGTCTCCGTAAGAGAATGACATTAACTAACCTTGATGAGCTCCTACGGACCTCTTAGTTGTACTATTGTCGTGTCTTTTTTTATTCGTAGAGCTGGTTGCAGTACCATTGGTCGCTGGGGTGTAAACGGAAGGACACGCATCCAGTGGCCTTGAGGGAGGTCTCTCCTGAAAATGTATGAAGTAACGTCTTTTAAAGATCGCGGAGGAATTTCATAAATGCAAGTCAAGCAGGAGATAAGCGTGCTAGGAGAGTCCTCTGTTGAACTCTACATCCGTTGAAAAGTAGAGGACCAAACGAAAGGACGCATTGACGATTTGGGCATTTTCTCCTAGGTTGATCATCAAGTGTGAACTGTCCACCTTCGACAGAGACCTACTTCTCGTCTGCTTACAAATGGGTTCACATACTGCAGGCACCTGAAATAATGCAAGCGACTGATACCTCCCAATCCACCTGCAGGAGGAAAGTAATGCCTCAATGATGTTGTAAAAGCGTGTCACACCAGTCAAAGCTTCGTATCGATCATACAGTTCATCTACGGCAAACCTAGTCTAGTAACAGCAACATGTTTAAGGGCAAATATGTAAATTTTGCATAAACTTCACATTACTTGTGCTTGTATAGTTTGCATAGACCATCACCAATGCAGATATATCCGTCTGCAGAGTCAGCGAGGTTGTAGCGGGCAGCCATCATGACCGGCCGGGTGTCACTGTTCAAGACCTCGCTGTCTCAAGGTCATTCACCCCTTGCAGCGGGTCGTCCAAGACGAGCTGACCTGAAGCCACTCAGCCGACTTCAGCTCGGACACCATTGCGCCCACACAGCGTCGCGGCTACCCATGCGTCACTTGAACGCGCCACCCCCTGCAACCAGCAAAACAAGCCACTGGGACACCACCCCTCGGAAAGTGCAACACACACTGACTGGACACCACTTGAGCTTGGCCCACAAGCCTGCAAGTGGCTGCCACCACTATCTCAGAGAATCTCAGGCATGACTGGACGCAGTCAACGCAGTCCTGACTTCGCCAGTGACCACTGCCGCCTGAGAGGACAACTCCGAATTCTGTGCACAATAAACCCCTCATTCTAGTGCCTCCTGTCTTCCCCTTCCAATATGAGTATTTGGCCCGACGATAGTAGCGCTCTGAGTATAGACAGACATACACACTCACACGGCTTGGTCACGACAAGGTCCTTGTCCTCTGACCCTCAAGTGGTTCCCAACAATGGGGTCCGGTTGGAGTCTAATTGCAAAATATACGCCGTTAAGCACCCTATCCGGATCTCGGCAGACCGCACCAATTAATTAACTGATGCCCGCGTTGGCGGCATTCACTCCTACAGGGGTCCTGAGAGCGGACGTCACCGACTAACTCCACTGCCGATAAAATAAATGCGCTAACGGGTCACATGAGATGCTACCTCACTAAAACGAAGGTCCTACATCGACTGAGGAGCTGCGCTACCGAAATTCAATCGGGTGCAGTGTACCTGTGGCCAAAAACACCAGGTATCGTGGTGTAAAAATCAGAGTATGCAGCCTTAGATCAAGACGACCTTGACAGTAACCTGTATGCCAACAAATTTGTTCTGGGCACGGTCTGACGAAAGCTTTGCAGGCGCATCAAACGCCGACAGAGTGGGCTCCGCAAAAGTCAGTTAGCCGTATGAATATCATAAAGATATGGACAAACAAGAAAAGCAAAGTACACCTAAAACACGAGAAAGTCAGTAGCTCTTACCAGTTCGTCATGAAGGAAATGAAATGATTCTCAGGGCAAGGAGATAGAAAACATGGAAAGATTGTGCCTACAACTTAACCTAGCTGCTGCCTACCCGGCGCGCTCACGGTTAGTTAGTGACTGAGCGACCTGCAGTGGACATCAACCGTGAAATATAGGGCTTGCGTCTGAAATATAAGCTTCTCCTGACCAGCATGCGGTTTGAGGTCTGACAAAGCATTTACCATACAAGATTCCGTAGAGTCCGATAAAGGCACCACGACACAGCAAGCTTGAACTGCCTTGTTTCCGGGATGCTCATCTAAATGACAAGTCAGAGACTCGTGCATTAAAGTTGGGTCAAACTCCTAAACCTCCATCATTTGCAGGCTTCCACAATCTTCCTACGGTGTCCACTGCGGTCGACGTGTCTAGATCTCTGTCAATGGGTCCCGGATGGTAAGGCTGCAAGCTAGTCTCCTCAGACGGAAGAGCTACGCAGTGCATACTGGAATGCGATAATTCTTCTTGCACCCGCAATGCAGGTTAACCCGGTTAGCGTTGGCGAAATAGTGTGAGTTCTGGCTAGGTCTTCCAGATAGATTTGCCGGATTATGGTTTACTCAGCAAGTCCGCCACAGCGATCTCACGGACTAGTCTGGTTAGCATGTAGTCAAAACCACTCCGAGTAGTCAGGCTGAGGCTTCACGTAAAAACTGGCATTTAAACTTTTCAGAATTTAACTGAAGCACTAAATAAGCACTAAATCAAAAGCCCTCACCGTTTGTGGCACCCCCACTATCCGCCTGTCCACCGTGGGTATCGGTCTATCAGAATTTGCAATATTTTTATTCGTGGTAGGTAGGGGTCTGTCCATCGTTAGGATCGGCCATTCTTCCACCGTTGCCTGTCTTTCTTCTACCGGTGCCCGCCTGTCAGCTTTTGGTATGGGCGAGTCCGCCACTGACATCTGCTTTTCAGGGGTTGCAGCGCCGACACCAGGAGATTGTACTTTGCCTTGCGAAGGTGGCCGTTGAAACGCCTCATCCTTCTCCCGTTTTTGTTCCTGAGTAGCAATCTGTGTGAAGGGAAGGCAGGCGAATACTGACATAGCAATGGCCAATCGATGAACCCAATAATTTGACATGCGTCACAGCTTTGAGCCTACTCGATGATCCACAGTCCTATAAACGTCCAGCCAGTGAGATGAAAAATCTGCTTACTCAAATAAGCACAAGCCTGGCAAAACTCAGAGCAAATGGGGCAATCACAGCCAAAGATTGGTTTCTTATGAAACTCTGACTCTGCCACCGCGGGGTTCTATGGTCTGCCGAAGGTACACAAAGCGAACATACCTCTTAGGCCCATCGTCTCCCCAGGTGGTACTCCTGCATACGATTTGGCAAAATGGATGTTTGCTCGTCTTAAGTTCCTGGCAGAAGGATCGCCAACAACAGTGGCTTCTGCTAATCAGTTCCCTATGGACTCCCCCATATCAGGGCTGATTGCTGAAGTGGTTCTTCAATGGATAGAATACTTGGTGTTCACCATGTATCAACCAAAGTTCGGGGTTCGTTACGTCAATGACACCTTCGCCATTGTCAAATCATCTGACGTGGTGCACCTTAAAGAATTACTGAACTCGGTTGACCCGAATATCCAATTCACGATGGAAGCCGAAACAAACAACCAACTTGCCTTCCTCGATGTCCTTGTGCGTCGTTGTACAACTGGGCAATTACAAACTACCGTTTTGAGACAAGTCACCAACACAGGACAAATACTACACTTCAATAGCAATCACGCCCTCTCTCACAAACGCAGCTGTGTCCGTACTCTATTCCAAATAGCTGAAACACATTGCAGCACACCAGCGGACAAAAGAGTTGAAGGACAATACCTTCATGACATCTTTCGAACCAATGGATACCCAAGCTACCTCATCAAGCAAAGCGAGCGCCGAGTGAACAGACGACGGCCACAAGAAGAACAACCCGAAGTCTGGAGGGCTATTCCTTACATTAAAGGAGTCTCCGAGGCGGTTTCACGACTGTTACAACCCGCCAGGGTAGGCATTGCCAATCAACCCCAGGCAACAATTCGTCGCCGTTTGATGCAACCCAAAGACATACTGCCACTCACTGAAACCTCAGCAGTTGTCTATCAAATACGTTGTAACGGTGGAGACTGCAACTACGTTGGGAAAACAGGACGGAAATCGCAGACCCGCCTATATGAGCACAAAATGAAAAAAGGACAGCAAAGGGCATGCAAACTGGCTTACCGGATTTTCTCTACGACGCAGCTCCTCCGCTCTCATTTCTTGCTCCATTCGCTGACGTTCCCGAGCTATACGCTTCGCCTCCTCCAACTCCTCCCGCATCAGGCGCTCCCGTTCCTCCTTTCTGCGGGCCTCTCGCTCCTTTATCTGCTTGTCGTACGCCGCCTAAACAAGGGACAGTTTGACATTTAAAGCCGACGAAGAAGATGAGGGAGAGCTCGGGAGAGCGTAGTAGGGGCGCCAGAATTACTTCTAACCGCCGAACCTACGCGGCCACAGGCAACAGAGCTCCTGTTCCCACAACGAACAGATCACGAGGACTCACCCACCTCCGCGGCACATGCGGCTCAAACGTGGCACTCTATGGACAGTGTTCGACTAAGGCGCTTGAGAAACCACAATCCACACGCCCTGCTTCCACTCGTCATTTTCATCAAGTCTTCACATGCCCCGACTCTACTCCTAGACTTGTCTCGGTTGCAAGACATCCAGCCGGACTACCCGCTACGCTGGCAACTCTAACAGCGTTAACAATAACAACACGCCAATCTTCCCTATATTGGAAAAAAAAACTTTTGGGGGTGAAGGTTTGGTTAAATAAGTTTAGGACGCCTAAACGCCCCTTATCAAAGTCCCCCACCCATCGTCCAATCTGTACGCTTAGTCTGGTGAAGAGAGCCAACTACAGTGATGACTAACGAATTGTCACCCAGGATGCATTGGGTGACCAGAGAGTGGTAGTCACTTTGATAGATTGGCGGTCCCATCGAAGGCCTAGCTTGCTTACATACTTCAAAAGACTTTTATCCTGGCTAAGCAACTGACTCTATGTTGTAGATTCACGACATCTCGCAGTGTTGTTCTTCATTTTAGTCGGTCAGCAGCAAACTCCTTAGCCCGTTGATATATCAGCCCCAGAGACGGCAGGCCAACATCTGCCCTTGGGGCCAGCTTTCACCACTTCCATCCATGACTTCAGTTGGCCATCTCGACGTTCTTGTCAGTCAGGGTCAGGCCCAACCAAGACGAAATGACGGCTGACATCGCCCTCACGTCAGTACAGCACATAGCGGAACCTTCCGTGTGATAGACAACAGTTCGACCGTCGTTTCCGACGATGTTCACCGTGTGTGAGAGAAGGAACAGTGGATTGCGCGCAAATTAGCCTATAGTGATAGCAGACTTGCACAGCGTCTACCGGACTCTCTTCTCCCCCACATCGGCCCGGTGTCATGACAGAGTCAAGAAGACCGGAGGCGAGAGAAGGCGCAGGTGGCTTACACGGCGAAAACCCGCACCTAGGCGTACCACCAAACCCCTGCGCTCACAACGCACACTGACGAAGATTTTACACAAGAAGAAAAGACGGCAGCTTAGATCGGTGCAACGTGGGCCTGTACCTGAGCGTGCTGCCACACCCCCAAATGTCGACAGTTGTTGTGAGTGCGCATTCACAGTAACGCCAGTCGAACCCCGGTCTAGCTTCCGCGTTGGTCCAGGGCATCTGCCGCGTGGTCCGTTTCAGGAGTAGTGTGATTCCCAAGGTCCCATCGAACTACCATGAGCCACTGGGTCGGTGTCTGCTAGCAACGACAGAAGCAACTCTCTTCAGGTTATGTATGCCAGTCCTGTGCGCGCAGAAGAACCTTATGGAAGCTCCACGTCAACCATGGCCAGAGATCAGTTAGCTGCACGCACTTTTCTTCACTCTCCACCCCCCCCCCATCCCCTGAAACGACTTTACTTGACCCTCACCGTCTCTTAGTACCTTCTTCACCCCTCGCCATTTACATACCCAACTTTTATGAAAAAACAAATTGGGAGCGGTTTCTCTTGTCCTCTTGTGTTTTGATTGCAATCCGACGAGAATTTGTGGAAAGCACACGTATGCTCGTTAACTGCTCTCCGGAATCCTTCATCGGAAATTCTCGTAACTCTGGTCGGAATCAACCGCGTCCCTTCGTAATATAACAGATCAACCGTCACATCCGGCGATGTTCCCCGTGTGCCCCACAAGGTGGGCGTAGCATCGGCGACTTGCGCATTTAGCGAGACGGACTTTCGATGCATCTGTTGCACTCCCTCCTCCATCATCCTCCTTGTTCCGATAGGAAGACAGTGTCGAGACAGTCGGTGGTGGCCGAGAGCGACCTTGACAACATGCTAACAAGAACACATCATTTGAGTTGGTCAATGTTAATATAGAACGCCACATTATCACTGCAAATCACTCCCAGCTTGATAGAGACAATGTGCCGGTAGACACAGACCACTGCGTAGACGCCAGTCTTCAGTGATTTACAAGGTCCCATCAAGCTATCCAAAACTACTTGGGCAGTGCTTGTTGGCTATGGCAGAGGCGGATGCAATCAGGCTACGCGGACCGGTCCTATGCGCACAGAAGAAATTCACACTGTTCCCACAGTTACCATGGGTCAAAGCAACCAAACCAGCCACCCGCATGTAATTACCTTCGCCGGGACCCACTTTTTCCCTGACACTGACTGGAATTGTGGTGTTTCACTCTCCCCCTCCCCTCCCCAAACCCGAGCTACAGCTTTATTATCTACCTGTCCGTATCTTTTAATTCATTCCTTTAATAGCCATATAAATGTACAGGCTCGAAGAGAATTTATCGAAAGCAGACGTATGCTCGCCAAATTGCCTTTTGAATTTTACAGTGGGAATTTTCGTAACTCTAGTGTGCCGTAAATGTTAAATATGCGATTTACGTTCCCTGCAGGGTTTCTTAAACGCTTAACAAACAATATAAGGAGGAAAACATGCGCGGTAAACTTGAGATCGCTCGACCGATAGTTAAGTCATCTGTCTTAAAAATCGATTAGAACTGGTGAAAGTAAGGGGTTCTTATACTAAATTCTCGAATGAATAAGTGATAACTCAAGTATTCTACAGAGAATTCTTGCGCACTTACATGAGTACCGCATGACACCGACACATCGGCGACCAAGACAACTGGCTGGGGTCGGACCGGAATCAAAGCAGATTTTAACTAGTACATCAACTGCCTCCCGGTTAACAAGTACCAGCATTGGAAGGTCCTTACGCAGTTAGTGCACAAAAAGAAATTAACCGTCCATGCACTGTCAGCCGGAAGTTACCTGAAGCTCCAGCTGTTGCTGTCTCCTTTTGATTGCCTCCTGTTTGGATCTCTCCTCCAGATCTGCAAGACCTCGGCCACGAGAGAAGACCTGTTCAGCAGGGGTATTTTGGTTCAATGAGTCTCGGAGATGGGGCTGCTGGTGGGTAGGATTAATTACTTCCGGCGCTGTTCTATCCCTGGTGGAGGGAGAAGCCTCGTGGATCCCGTTCGGAACTGGCTGCGACTGTGCTGGTTGCGACGGTGGTGGTGGTACGTCGACGACGTGAAGTCGGGGTACCCGGTCGTCGCATTGGGCGCCACCTGCATCTGATGGGTCGATGTGCCTCAAGTACACTGGCGTACAGGGTACCTGCGACTTCATTTCCTCGTTCAGCACCCGAGTCTTCTCTCTCTCCCTCAAAGCTCTTTTCTCCTGCACCTGTCTGTCGAGCTCAGCCAGCCACTCCTGCCGTTGGCGTTCCTAAGAGCGGCAGGGGTACAAATGTCAACATCTATCAGCACTTCGAAAGGCAATTTGGCGAGCATGCGTCTGCAGTAGCTCGGGTTTGGGAATGGGAGGGGGAGAGTGAAACACCACAATTCCAGTCAGCGCCAGGGAGGAGGTGGGTCCCGGTAAAGGTAATTACATGCGTATGGCTGGCTTGGTGGCTTTGAACCATGGCAACTGTGAGACCTGTATGAAGTTCTTCTGTGCGCATAGGACCGATCCATTGTAAATAATTTCAGCAGAAAGCATTTTGACAAATGCGGTCAGGAGGTTTCAGCTACCACTTACCTGTTGCAAAAAACGAGAGTTGGGAACAGAGATATGAACTTACCATATTACAGGTGGCCTTGCCGTAAATTCCAAGGTATTTAGGGTTAGTGTTAGAGCTAGAGTCAAGGTTAGGGTACAAGTTAAGACACGGGGATAGATGACCCCTGGAATTCGGGTTCATATTCCCGTGTTCGACCAAAATGAGCCGTTGGAGGCGGTAACGCAGACCTTCTACTAATCCTAACACAGGGCCTACTCAAACGGAGTAAATATTCTGCCGGAGCAGAGCCATTAAAATTCGATGGTCAACAAACTTCAATTCGGTTGTGGGAAATAAAAGTCCACCGACACCTACTGTAGGGTCTCAACCTTCGACACAAATACAGTTCATCACGTACGGTGTAGAATGTGCAGCGGCTGCGAAGACAGAACATTTGGACGGATAGCTTTACTACTGAAAAGAAGTACTATTTCGGTGATAAGTAGACATTGGTCCCTCGAAATTCAGATATGATGATATTTACTAGTTGGTACATCATCAAACGTCATGGAAGACAAGGAGTATAATTGACAATCGACAGCCTCGCGAAATAGTCATGTTCTCACCAAAAGGTAGAAGTAGGCTTAAGCTTAGACCCGATTACGTTGCAGTGAATGGGAGCTCATTTCAGAAGCTTAGGAGGTTTTGATTCTAATCCCAACTATCGACCAATAAAAGTAATCACGACTCCCCTTAACTACCGTCTTAGAGCCGAGCTGGGCCGATGGCAAGGCCGCACGTTTCGTATTGTTTTGATCTCTTTCAGTTCTTACCCGCTAACCCGATAAACATTCCTTTCAAATCGTCGGTGTTGTGGAGGGCAGACCGATATTTCTGGAAAGTCGAAATTTAAAAGTGTGACACTCAAGCGACTCAGATTTGGACACCCTTTGTCGGGAATTTATATCTCAAAGACGTCGGTGATTATTAGAAAAGGTGTGTAACGCTTTACATGGGACCTGGAAGACAATTTTTTAAGGGAGTAGACAGTTGATAAAGTTCAACGACGATTTTGAAAACGCTGCTGTCTGCGACAGTAAGGCCATCACTGTCGCAAAGTGGACGCAGAAAAGGACTGCGCGTGAGTCTGTTTATAAAACAGAATTGCGCCGTATTGACCCCACTGAGACCTCGATGTTCTAACGGCAAGTGTCAAGGCGACTAGGGACGGACAAGAATGGCTGAGGAGGACAAAGCCACGCCTACGTGTGTCAAACACGAACCAGCACTCAATGAGAGTCTTGGATCGAAAGTAAATGAGTGTTATAGAGGTAGCAACCAGACGGGACCACCACAACTCGATCATTAGTCATGAGTAAGACCGATTTATTTTTTCGGTCACGGATGTTGGCGCATCGTGATAGTTTCAGAACAAGGTCAGTTATTTTTAGCAAAGAAAAGCGTGTACCTTAGCTGTAATGACCGCACCACTTATTCCTGTCCCATACGTGAGGCATTTCCGAGCCCTGCCAAATGAATACGAGACTAGGCGCAGTGGCTGGCGAGGCTTGAAACCTCCGTCTAACGCGAGTCACACACTGGCGGCAATTACAAAATGTGCCGCCTGTCACCGACAACGAAGCGGACTTTGTTGCATGATTTCTGCATGGGTGGCAGGTGATACTTTAGGATCTGCTTCTGTATACGTGCGCATAATCGAATAGGCCCATGCGATGTCTACATCTTCAAAGACGTCGGCGCGACCACCTCATTATCGCTTTCTCTCTGCTTCCCCCCTCCCACAATATCCGCGTGGCCTCGAACACGACTGCCGAAGTTTTTACGACAGACTGCTATGCTCTCAGTCCAGCATTAGCTTCCCAGGGTGTATGGAGGGTATATTCAGAGTGTCATGCATCCTCGTTTTTGTCTACCCTGACTATCTCGTGTTGTAAATACCAAGAGGAAGAAAGAAGTCGCGTTGCGATCCAGGAAGCGGATTTGAACTTTCCTAGCTATAAACAAATAAAGACGAGTCGGTGTCTTGCCGTTTGATCCAATGAGTGCTGACCGCGTAGCAATCCCGTTTAAATCTTCCTCCTTGAAAGGGCAAGTCATTCTCATACGAGTGTCCTCGCAGGCGGTCACATAGAAAAACACATTATCTACTCCGGAAATGTTGCTATCATCAACGAGGGAGACTGAAGTGACTATTCCTGGCTAATTTGTAGTCATCATAGAGCCATACCAAATGACCCGGGTCTAAAACGTGGGTCGCCTAGGGCCTGTGACTGGTGTATGGATAGCTGATGACCGATAGCAAGTCGGAGGCGGCCATTTAAATATTTTTTGTCCCTTTCGGCGACGGCTTGAAATGGACTATAAGACTGATATCGTATCAGATGAAAATACACAGATTTCCAAAAGCATTTTTAAGGTATAGATAACAGATATTGACTGCTTTCGGATTTATTGGGGGACTACACAATTCATCAAATCAACCCGATCAAATTCAGGATTGTGATCATGGTTACCAAAACGTTACGTAAACGGTAAACACCGTCGGTCGCGACGATCGAACTGTGTGTGAAGTGTTTATTAGAATTTCTTTGTACACTGAACCTCTAACAAAAATGATAAGACTACTTATGGGGAACTCAGATAGCAAACAACACTTTCACAACACTGTAAGTATTCCCTTGCCAGGGCGTTCGCAGACACATTTCTATCGTAACCGTTGACCAAGATTTCGTTCAGGAGTAATGAATAAACAAGTAAACAACATACCCTTTGCGCTGCCATCACTTTTGGATCTTCGCCGATGAAAAAGCCTCCTTGAGTATTGTTGGGCGGTATGTGAGGGATCGGTACGGTCCTAGCAATCGAGGTGGGGACAACAGGACTGCCGAGAGGCAGATGGTCTTGGTTGTCCAATTCGCCAGGTTTCCAATAGACGTCTGCACCCGAGGAAGGAGCCTGATAATTTGCAGGTGCCGGACACGAGGAGGCTTCACTCAGACGACTCATTTCTTCTACGATACCGACAGACCGAATTCGATGCAGAAGTAGTAACGAGTGTTAGCAGTTATGCTGGTTGAATAGGAGTATGCGAAATATAACGAGAACTTATTTGGATGCAAGTACAAGCTTTGAGTAAACCTGAGCCTATATCTCTGTTTCAGGACTGAATCGGGTCATAAGTATTCAATGTAGCTCATTTCTACGCTTTTCGACATTCGTTTTATTTGAGTACGTCCGGTGTTAGTTGCCTTTAAGTTATGTGGAATTACAATAATGTATATAAGGGACACAGTCCACTTTCGAATTGACGACAATTTAAACAGTAATAAGGAGTAACAAAATAAAAGCTTTTTACTAACTTTTCCAGAAATGACTAAGATAATACAGAATAGCCTATGGATCGCGAGTTCTGTAGCATTTTGAGAGCCTGTCTTAAATTAGGCACAGGGGTTTGTAAGGGAGGCCTCAAGACCTGTTTTTTAAAGGCAAGAGTGACAGTTCTATTAAAAAAATACGAAATCCATCCTAGTGTACCGGCGAAAAGGGCAAAAAACAGTTGGACCCTACTTCGTTCGCTCTTCTAAGTCAAGGTCCTGTCATCAACAACGAACACTTCTGTTATTTATTTGAACACTTATTGTGATGTATAGGTAGAAATAACAAAGGTATTAGAGCAAATTTGTTAAAGTGTTAAAATGTTTGGAGTGAAAGCGATGCGAATCCGTACAGAGGTCATTAACAGACGCAGGTTTAATGAACTAGAATGACGCATGAGTTATGACAATTTTTCTTTCGAGTGAGGAGAAAAAGGCATCATTTATTACGACGTACCAGAAAAATATATGAAAAATTTTATACGATGGGAGAAAAATTAATGAAACTGTCGGCGAAAACGTGAAGTAGAATGGAAGGCGGGTTAGTATTTGTACAACTGCTGAACACCATAGGCGGCCCTCACAATGCTAACTGTTACCTTGTTCTTTCATCCACTGCATCTTTTTCTTTTCTCTAAGAGAGAAAACGGACTGCGAAGGGGAAACTTCGTCGTTATTTTTTTCTGCCGAAACTGAAGTCTCTGGAATATATGCAACTGGCTGGTGACAAGATTCGAGATCCGTGTACTTTTCAGGCGGCTGTGGGATCGACTGAAATGGAAGCTCTGTCATAATCGCAAAAACGTACATTTGCGGGTGGTTGATTACTTCTTTCTACCCAGGTATGCATATTAATTGTGGAAAAACAGAATGCTTACGTGGAAAATACCGATTTGTTACATAGTAAAAGGATGCAAGCAGATCGACGAGTTGCTCGTGTGAAAGTTTGTCTCTATTTAACTCCACAAGTTTTCTTACAGCTTCATCTAGAGTTGGATCCTCTAAACAAGACCTTGGAATATTCCCATGACAGCTAGGGACGGGAGGTGAAACAGGAGATCCTTTTGTAAGCTGCGAAACCTGCGAAACAAAAAAAATTGTAAAAAACAGCCGCAAGTGACGTTTGGCATTGTGCTCGAGCGGAAAAAGTATCAATGAAAAACGTCAAAGTCTAAAGCGAAAATAAATCATCATCGCGATTAAAAAAATATGAACTTGACATATGTGCAGTGTTTCGTGTCCCATGCGGTGGTCACGTTTAATTATGAGCGGTTTAGTGAAAGCAGAAAAATCCCGAAACAACTTTGAGTCAACCTAACATTCCTCTAGTCACCTCCTGGTACGTATAGACATATTATTCAGCACAAACTTAAAGGGCACAAGCAATTCAATTTAAAAGGACACTATTGCGCACTGTTTCGTTGAGTTTTTGTAGCAACAATTGTTGCTCTTAAAAAGATCAAATTGTTGGATCACGTGGCCAACGACGCGAGTGTTGCCGGATTCCCTGTTAACTTAGTGGGAATTTAGAGAAAACATTCGAGAGGAAAACAGATCCTATTCTATGACATAAATGCGCCTTAAACTCGAAAGATGAAGGTGTGTTTACCTTACTCAGACCCTCCATAACATTAGACAACTTTCGCTGTGAGATCATGCCGACACTTAATTGTTGTTTACCATTACTTTTTATAGCCTGCTTAACTGGCTTATTTCGTTGCTTTTCCAGGCGTGCCTGATCTCGGAGGCAAGCCTGTAACCTTGCAGAAGTCAAACTCATCCGTATGGTGTCAACTTGTTTGATTTACGGCTCACCGAAGCAACCAATAGAAAATTAATGATTTAAACAATATGGTTTATTTGCACCATTTAAGTGAAACGGAGGGCCAAAGCAAGCTGAGTTGTCCTTTATTTTTGAGTTTAAAATTTGTATGGTCGCTAAACCATATGACAGTCATACGCGAACGTCATTTTAAGGGTCGATTTTTGATTGACTGGACGGCGGTAAATCAGCACAAAAAGCAAGTTTTAGCTCTATCAACATCAATCAATGAGTCAGTGTATTTGATGGGACTAGGCTTACGCCTTTGAGCTCCCTATTTGTTCATAAAAAATCGATCAATAGGCAAATATGTGAAGAAATTACAGCACTAATTGAATGCACACATCGATTCACATATGTCACTGGTCTGATGGCTAAAAAGTCACATAGTCCGCTTGTTGCTGCAGCATATAACCGTCAGGCCGACATTTAAATGTCTCCTTAGATTGAGACATGACAATCCTCTCGGGCAGGTTATTCCACGGTTCCCCGACACGGTTGGAGGCAAAATAATTTTTCACATTTAATCTACCCTGGGGCACACGTAGCTTGAAGGGATGTCCCCGGAGGTAAAGTGTAGTGGCGAGATGGGAAAAGTCACCGCACCGAAGGGCGCAGTCCAAGCCACGCACGATACGGAAAGTCTGTATCAAGTCTCCGCGCAATTGCCTATAACTCAGAGGATAGAAATTAATGTTGGTTAAGCAGATCTCGTATGGTAGTGCACCTTGACCTCTTATTAATTTTGTTGTTTGCCTCCGCACCCTTTCGAGCAGATTGTAATCCTGATGCGTCCACGGTCCTCAGGCCTGCATTGCATATTCGAGATGCGGCCTTGTAAACGTGCCGAAGACTTTGCAGAAGCAGTCTTCACTGCAAACTCGAATGCCAGCTTGATGGCATATAGCATTGAAGTTGCGGCATTGGCCGCCTTACAGCATTGTGTGGAGGGCTTTTGGTTGTCTGCAACCCAAACTCCGAGATCTTTAGGCGTTTTTGCTTCCCGGAGTGACATTCCGTTCAGCTGGTATTGCTGCGTACTAGGGGTCTGATTTCCGAGGTGCAGTATCGTACATTTGTCCAAAATGAAGGACCAGAGTCATCTGCAGGACCACTCGTCCACTCGACAAAGATTTTCTTGGAATTTTGTCTCGTCGGCAGCATTCTGGATGACTTTCCAGATGTTTATTTCATCCGCAAACATGACACTATCACAATCCAAACCATCTACACATTTTTTGATGAACAAGGGAAAGGGGGTTGATTCGAGCACCGAACCTTGTAGGACTCCACTCCCAAAATCGCTTCTTCTCGAAACATAATATTTCCATAGTGGGATCTTCCACGTTGTCAGAGCTAGATGGACTGAAGTCTGCTTCTCTTGTGAAAACGGATTAGAAATACTGAGAAAAGTGTCCAGCTTATTTGTACTGTCCGATATCTCCAAACCGTCATCATTCCTCATGACAGGAGTGGGATTCCTGTTACGGGTGCTCTTTCGCAAATATCTGATGTGCAATTTCGGATTTTTAACAGTTTGGTGGAACAGGGTACTCTCAAAATCCCGTTGCCACTTGAAACTCAGGTTTTTCACCTTATTTCTTCGAACTCTATACTCTGTAAAAACAGCATTGTTGTAGTTTTCGCAAAACTGGTTCTACAGCCTTCCTTTTTTGTTGATCGCCTTTTTGTGTTCTCCTGTTACCCACTGAGATCGGTTGGGTGTCTTAGGCTTCGATAAGGGACAGTGGCTCTTCATTAGATGCGTCAACCTATCCTTGAATAAATTCCAATCCTCGTTAACGTTTCCGGAGAAGAGAACATTCCAGTCTATTTGTCTCATTTGGTAAAAGTCCACTTTCCATATATTTAGCCTCGTATCGTCGTTTTTATACGGTTCAGAATACAGCTCGTAATTCCATAAAAGTACTGCGTAGTCACATCGACCGAGCGAAGGTAGGTAGTTCGCGTCGTCTATACTGTCAGGATCTTTGGTGAAAACGAGGTCCAGACAACTGGCCTATTGCACTCCACGAGCTCTAGTTGGAAACAGGGCATGTTCCGGGAGAAGAGCTTTTAGGGCTGTTTTTAGTAGACGGTAATCGAAGGCATAATTCGAGCACTTCACATGCATATCGCTCCATTGAATTCAGGGTGTATTAAAATCCCCCATGAGAACAAAGTCTGGTCGACTGACAATCTCTTTTATGCTTTGTAGTAGATAATTATCTGAGTCGGGATCCGCCTGCGGGGGCCTGCAGATAGATACGACTTCGAGTGACTGAGACCACTGTGCCTTTATAGTCATCCAACTTGCCTCTGTGTCGTCGGAACTCTTGTCGATCCTCTCACACAGTGTTAAGTTGCTTTTGGCATACATGGCAACTCCTCCTCCCCGGAGGCCTCTCCTATCTCTCCTTAACGATTGCTGTTCCGTAAGTGCTTATTCGCAATCACTGACGTACTGTGACAGTCACGTTTCTGTTATTGCTATAACATCCGGAGGCGTATCGGCTACTTGTGTTCTCAGTTTATGCAGCTTGGAAACAGACTGTGAGCATTGGTGTTAAAAAATTAAGTTTGCAACATTCGACAGTGTTTCTCGGGTTTTCCAATATTATTTTGTTGCCGCCATCATGATGACTGCCTGGTTCCAGAGCAACATCTCACTCCTCTGTATCACTCGTCCCCTGAAAATAGCCAAGTTGCTCTCTCCCGCTGCAAGCCTCCTCTTGTTCAATAGGCGTTGAAAAATATCAAGACCAGCGGGAATGTTTTCCTTCGGGGTAGGAGCATTCGACTCCGCTAGGCCCTGGACGACCACGCAATGCTTGCGATCAAGGAGTTCATTTGTTCTGTTTCCGGCGGTTTTGTCAGCTGAAGGTCCCAGGAGATCCATCGGAGTCGTTTTGGGCTTTATACTCCTGTTTTGGTGCTTGTCCATTCCATCTTACCACGAGCTTGTTTCATCACTTTCCACAAATTTGTTCTTTGTCTGCTTGGAGTTTTGCTCTTTGTCTTGCTAACTCTGGCGCAATTAACCGCGTCTTACTCACCACCGTTTGCTCGCACAAGTTTCCTTAAAGCAGGCGGCTCTTTCTCGAGTTTTTGGACTTTCTGCGGAATATAGGAACATCCAGTGCACAACTCGTCCTCGTGACTAACACAGATTGTTGTGATTAGGCTATTAGCGCGCTTTGCGAGCACCTGGTTCAGTTCAGTTCAGTTTATTGAGGGAAATAGGCGCAAGCCTTTGAGTACCCTATTCGCAACGTAAAAAATATGTGGTATACAGATAAATTTTCTGGTTGCAATTATAAAGAGAGCGAGCGATAATCCTGGGTGGCAAGCCCATCTCAATAGACGTTCCTTCATTACTAGTGTCGGTCCTGGTCGTGAAACTTCCAAAAATGTGCCCTGTGTCCATGAACTTCGTTTGTGCGTAAGTGTGTATTCGCTTTCGTGATTGTAACTGCTACTTGCGACTGTATACGATGGAGTATGGCAAATAATCAAAACCAAATGCTCAAAACAGGCCTAAATTCTAAAAACTCGCTTTACAGAAAAAAATATGAACGGTATGAAATATATGTAGGAACGAACAGCCGTTTTCAGTATATCGAAGGCTCTGATTAACTACTGATTTTCCTGGGTGTCAACGATTTGTTCTCCTAGGCCGGTATTTGCGCGCGAATATACACCGTAGTCCGTTAGATTTCTATGAAAAACAAATTCCCCTTTCAGACAGACTTCGGAGAAAAGAGTTCCAGAGACGCAGAAATTAATTTGATACGTACAATTCCATCAGCAATCTCAGAGACAGTAACTGCTAAGTGGTATCTACGTCAAAGTAGTCCCATTTTGGGCGCAGAAAATACCGTTGTGCTCAGTCGCGCTTGGTCACAGACTTTGATTTTACTCTCTAAATTTTCATGTATACCCAAACTTTTTGTATTGCGGTTTTAATATGCTAAAAGACGCGCGACTGGATTCGGCTTCCGCTAACGTGTGCCTTTTGCCCGTCTGGTGCATGTTAAATTCCGCGAACAGTTTTCATTTCTCGGTCGTATCTTGCCGTACGCGAATTTATCCGACTAACAAGCTTTAATAACTGACTTCGGTTCGGAACTTTTCGAACTTTACAGGAAGCATTCGCACTATAACAAATGATACTAGAGAGGATTTCATTTTCGTGAGTTTGTACAATTATTTACCGTTGCTGTTTTTTCAATATTTTTGCTATTGTTATTTGGTATTAAACGCTGCATCTCTTACTGGGAACTAAGGTTTTCCTGTGTCTTTTTCCTTCGTAGTTTTTTTTAATCTTTTGCACTACGAAAGTAGTGATCCCGTACCTCTAAATTTACGCATCGTACTATCTTCCATGACGGATAAAGAACCCAAAACAGACTACCTAGACGTTAACGTTTTCTCCTTTAAATTTTCCTATTCACTCCGGGCTATCCTTGCGTATGGTTTCGGCAGACTGAGACCTTCCTTCGACGAGCCATGTCACCAGCGAACTCACTTGTCACTCCTACGTGATGCAGAATCTCCCATTCGATGTCGCCTTTGATGTTGAGGACTTCCTCCACCCTATTCCTTGCGGTACATCGTCCGCTCGATTAAAGAACGCAGTGATTGAGCATGTAACAAAATTATCCAACCGGATGCACATGGAACTGTTCACTCAAGTAGCAATTGGTGACCAAACGCCTATGAACTTATACGTCATTCGCATGCCCTGCAAACTATAGTGAGATCTGTTTTAATAGATTACCAGCTCCTATGTGGCATGCCTAGACTATGCTCGACACAAGCACTCCTCTGGAGAA